GATTTTTCAAACTTCGATGCCAACTTCACATAGCTCGATTAGATAACGTCGATATCTGTTCCTTTAAAGTTCAAGTTATCCAGGGAATAAATAAAATTCTGCTGACGATCTAGGGACAACTCCAATACAATTTCAATGGAAATCATAAAATTAAGTTGAATATCTAATTTAAATTTCATTGAATTCTCGTGCAATCGAATTACACGAGGGGTGAAATATTGGAAAATATGTGGATCTTTAATAAACCGGTGGTAGCCTGTGCCCCAGAATTTTTCGCTATCTCGTCGGGAATTTAATTTGCTCCCCCCGATTTGCATGATATTAAAAAAATTCGGGTTGTGCAGGATAAAAAATAGTGGTGATAAAATTTTGCGCTTGCGTGAAACGGCGAAATTGTCTCGTTATTGGCTGGACGTGTATAGTATTTTTTTTTTAATCTAGTTTGTATTTTCCACGTGAAATTTCATTGTTGGAAATATTCATGGAGATATTCAATGTTATGTTATTCTTGTTCAATGAATGGGGGATTGAGTGATGCTTCATACTCTAGGGACCATTGACCAATGAAGAGCCTATGGAGATGATCCTCGAAACTCGGATGATGTATTCACTCATTCAACTTCTGTCTCACTTCTGTTTCTCGGGGTTAAAGTACTAAAGAAAATAAACAAAGGATTTTTTCTTTTCATCCTTTGTGCACTTGGATTCCTCGTAATTGGCACCAAGTGCTTTTTTGTTTTGACGGAACAATAGTAATGCCTGGGGAGCATAAAACATTTGTTGCACGCGTTGAATCGATTTTATTTCACTCACGTTTTCTGAATGATTCCTTCAAGATTCATTGCAATGAAGATGGTAAGTGTAGTTTAGAATGAGCTTTGATTGTTTGAATGGGAGATGAAAAGCTCCGGAGATAGACTTTCAATTCTCTGGGGTTTAACAAATTTTTTTTTTGGCGGATGGGTTTTGAAAATTTGGAAGTGAATCCTAAAAATTCGTGTGATGTTTAATTAGGTCAACTGTCGATATAGCGGGGTAAAAATGTCATTCCATTTTTTGTTGGATATTTTTTCTTCCCGCCAGCAATTTTCTGATGAAAATTACATTCCTTTCAACTTTTTCCGGCTCTCAATTTCCAGACGTACGAAATTGCTGGGTGATATTCATTCCCCGGAAAGTAACCAGCTCTCGCAAATATCCAGCAATTTCAATTCCATTACTTATTTTTGAGATGTTTTACGCCCGATAAATTTATGATCTCATTCCAAACGGAGAGATTGAGATTGCTTTTCTGAAAATCGAGGAAAAATTTTATTTCGATTGAATTTTATTGGAACGTCATTTCGAAATTTGTACGGGAATAATTTCAATGGTAAACCAACTCCACTGGGCTATCTCCTCCCCGAAGATTGATGACTCTATATCTCATTCCGTAATTACGCATAATTAAACCGTGTCTCAACTGCGTTACCCCGTCCCCAGATTGATTTACACCGTCCATAACACCAGGAGTGCCCCATAAATAGAAGCGCTGCATAAAATCCCAGTGCGTGCAAAGCAACGTTTAATCAATACCTCGATTATAATCGAAATTAACATCTTCCCGAAATCATGTAGAAACTATTAAAACAGAAATACAACTGGTGCAATATTTCGTGTGAAGATAAGAAGAATCAATTTCTAAAAAATTCCATTCAAAAACTCCACTTTTTTTTACGCTCGTATTTTTAAAAATCAATTCCATATTCCATACTCCATATTCCATATTAATTCCTGAGTAAGCAATATAAAAAAAAAATGGGAAAGAATGGAAAAATTACGAAGACAATTATTTAATTATTCCGGGAAATCTGAGAGCGTCTATTTACTGGGGGTGTCTATCTGGGGGTGTTATTTATATTTTCGTAAGGGTATCGAGGATGATGTCTGCTGGTCGACGGGATGTTGATGTGGCGGGTGTTATCGGTGATATCCACAGTATGTAGGTGAAGTGGGTGGAGTGGGTGGTTGGGGCGGGGAGGGCGTCGAGGGCGGGGAGGGTTGAGGTGGCGGAGGAGGGTGGTAAGGGGGGCTTTTGGTGGGGTTTTTGGGGGTGGATGGGTGGAAAAGGCAAGGGTTGGTCTCTCGGTGTAATCGTATTGTACGCAGTCGACTGGCGTGACTCCACACGACCGGATCGTCGCGCCACCCTGATCCCTTATTTTTTCGAATTTTTATTCGGCCTCTGTTAAAAAAAATATTTACTCCACCCTTTCCCTTCACTCGCCATTCATTTCCCCGAGAGTTGTCCGATTTATTTTTCACATTATTATCACCGCAGTCTGGGGCTGGATAATGCGCGGGCCCCGGGGGCAATTCCGCGAATGGACTGTCAGACACGATTTTAACCGCGAGATCCGCCACGTCGATGTCATCGAAAAAATCACCGCTGTCACGCGACTTTGACATGATTAGTCACGTTATCGATTTTATTATTGTTGATTTGCAATGTTATTGTCGTTCGGGTTGTTAATTAACGGGGCCTTCATAGAGTTTCAATGATATATTATAAATTTAGTACAAAGTTTAACGCGCAATGCAGTGCATCAACCTCTCTGTGCCTGCGATAATTACGGATTGCATTTTAGATTTTAATTTCGCGTATTTTTAAGTTTATCGCGGGACGTTTGAATTTTTTGGGGAGTCCTGGCAATATTTTTACTCTTCATTATCCCGGGGTTTGCGGCTCTGTGATGAAGGTAATATCATAATATCATCGTATTAATTATTTTAATTAGAGGAAATGGATGATCTTCAAGATGTCAATCTTCTATTGAAATTAATTTCAACAGCAGAATTAAAATAGACAATTTATCTCGTGAAATAAATCCTCTAGATTAATTTGGGGACAAAAATAATTATTAGAAGATTCGCATGACGAATTTTTACGGAGATATCTGGTGGGTTGTAAAGTTGAATAATCTGTTCTCCTCCGGTGACTCTCAGAGGGATTCCATCAGTGCCTAATTTACAAAATCCACCGAGAAGTCAGAGATCAAGGCCTTAATTCACGTGAGTTTTCGATCTTCAAGCTGTTGGTGTAAAGTTCAGAGCGGGTGATGCGATCGCGATCAAAACTTCACCGATGAAAACTTTTGGGAGGTAAAGTAATGCTCTCCGGTTGTAAGTTCAACTATATACAACAGCGGTTGTGTACATGCTCTCACTTCGAGTCTGGCTTATTTCCCCTGCATTGCGGATATCCGTCGGGATGTTTTGCATTTAATGGACGAATACGACATATTTTATTGCCAGGATATATCTAGCAAACGTGTGATCATTCGCTACTGCTCCATTTTGAGAAAATTGAATTTTCTATTTTTTAATTAATTAATTCCATTAATAAAATAAATAAAATTCATTGAAGAGTTGAATTTTCATGAATTTTACTGGAGAATACAAAATTGAATAAACGGGTGGTTTCGAAATTTCATTTTAATTCAGGGAGATGGCTTTTTCAATGATTATGGGATTATGAATTTTCATTCAGACTCAATTAAATGGTACATGCGTTATTGAGTGCGTATGATGAATATGCGGCGGGAAATGCAACTCGCTGGCAATTCCCTTTGCGGAAATCGATCCGGATAAAAAACAAATGTACAATGGCCTAGAATTCATCGACTCTGGGTTCACAGCTCCGACCTTTGTCAATAGCACGTTTTCAATAACCTTTTGAGGGTATTCATTCGAGAGAAATGAATAAATAAACGAGTATTCGATGGAATTTCGATGCCAGAATTTTTCCGGACTTTTTTTTTTCCGGTCGTTTGAGGCTGCATGACATCAAATCAATATATGTTTTGGGGAGACACCCGAGAGATATCAGAATTCTCTGTAAACATTTGTAACTGGAAATAACTGGAATAACAGGAAATTTATAAAAATGAAAAATGATATCAATCAAATCTTATTGCGAAAAAAAAAATTAATTTCATATTATTCATCTGATTTCACAATAAAATCCGATTAAATTCTCATTTAGCAAGGGGAATGCGTGAAAATAAAAATGTATTAAAAATGAAAAACCGGAATAAATTGAATAAAATTTTTCTGTAGAATTATAAAAAAAATCAGAGGATTGTCCTGAATTCGTGGATTACGATAATGCCGACAATGCCGGATTATTGGAACAGAATAATAAATTCAGATCTCGTTTGACCCAACAACTTGATAAAATTCTCGTTGAATAGCCCAGCCATCAACTGAATACCTGAAGAGAGAAAAGTCGCTGTTATCTCGAGCGTGAAGGGACGCGAAGTCGAGAATGACAAGGGGATGAGGGAACAAAGGCCATCCACAAGGATAAGGCCACATCAACCCCTCGGTTTGCCCTCCCTTATCTCATCATTTTTTATCACCTGTCAATTCTACCCGCGACCCTAGTAAAAGCTATTTTATTTCCCTGACCTTACTCATCCATTTTCCATCACATCAGGGAAAAAAAAATTTTCCAACTCTCAGGGAATCATTTCCGGGATGAATTCAATTCAATTCCAAGGGCAAGGTGAAATTATTATTTGATTGATAACGGTAAAATTTATATGTATCTATTTGGAATATTTATTATTATTTGAGAGGAAAATTTAATTCAGCTGTAGAAATGGAATTGTGAATGGTATTTAATTTTCGATTGTTTCTCCGGGAAATTCTTTCACTCGATATTTCGTTTGATACCTCTAGATTTGAGAGCGAGTTAAGAATTCAACTAGAATCCTCTTTGTTCTCGGGGTTGGTCTCCCATTGCCCATTTAATCAGATCGAAACTCATAGAAAACCGCTGGAGAACAGATAGAAAAGTTATCGTCGAATCCATTGAGATTCTGTTATTTTCCGGAGCGAATGAAAACTCGAGTTTCCGCAGCAAGAAAATCCCCGAGACCGCGAGACTGGATTTCTCACTTTTTTTTTGTCGAGTTGTCTGAGAGCATTCGAAATCGATTTATCACAGAGTATTTCAAAAAGCGAGAGTCCTGCATGCATCATCATCATCAAGATAAAATCGACTCGATTCCTTGAGTTTGTGAATGAAGTCGAGTTTAGTTGATAGAAATTATTGTAAAATTATGTGGAAATTCTCTTGATGACACATTTTTAGCGAATGCTTGACCCACAATTGCAATTTTCCTGATCTTTCGTGGGGTCTGTCCTATTAATTCAGGACCTCAGACACCCCAAAGGGATCGTTAACTCAAAATAATGTCAGGAAAGGATATTACACATTCAGAAAGGTCAAGAGTCCACAGGAGGTCACGAGGCCTCGACTTATTTAGTCAAGGGACACAGTTTATTTCATTCTGCATTTTTAATCTTGACCCTCTAGTTCTGAATGTGCACCAAAAATTCTGCACATTAATTGTGATTACAGATAAAAATTCAATGGTTTTGCCTCTTGAAGAATTTTTTTCATTACCTTTAATGAAAATACTGTTATTTTTACTGCGTTGATAAAAGATGCCTGAGTGATACGCAAAAACGTAAGGGTAGGAATAAATAGAGTTATGCCGGACAATGCAAAGGGTAATTGTGATGGACATCGGGAGAAGGAGTTTTTTGTCGATGAGATATCATCGATTGGTATGTCACTGCGACCAAGTGGAAGTGCATCTTCCGGTGAGTTACTCCTCTATTTTTCAGGCAAATATTATTTTTTTTATTCATTCACTCTCATCCTCACATTTTTTCCACTGAAAAATTTTTTCCACATGAAATTCCACGGGAGAAAGATTTTACGATGAGAAAAATTGAGGCGAAAATAAAAATGTAGGAAATACGTTGAGTAATCAGGCTCTCACCTTTGTTCGTCAGTCGATAATCGATGGGCTATAAAAAAAATTCACGAGAGTGGCATGAAAAAATAGAGATCCTGTCGATTTCTATTTTTGAAGTGTAGTAAAGCCTGTGAGTCATGGAAATATTCAAATTTATAATCGACCTTCTAGAATTATCGGTAAATATTAATTACACAGCACCCACAAAAAATATTAATGCCCCAAAAAATACTGTAACTCCGAAACTGAGGGGCTGTTCATTAAAAATAATGAGTAAAACGTACGTGGGGATTAATGCCTGGAATTATCCGCTGGAACTGGAATTTTAAACCTCATTGCAGAAATGACGGATTAAATTCTCTCGAGATGTCATTCAATCGGGAATGCAGGGAAATACTGACATTTTAAAATGCCAAAAATAATTAACCGACAATTAATGCTATAAATTCAGATTTTATTCCTTAAAATAAAAAATTGGGGAACAATGAGAGAAAAAAATTGAGGAAAAATGGCAGAAATGATTACAAAAAAATGTTAAAACCTGCGGTTTAGTATCGCAAAGTGAAACAACGATATTGTGTTGAAATCGACTGGATCGATAGTAGCCTTGGTCTGAGAAACATACTTATCACTAGTTTCGAGCAGATACTCTTGTCCTGTGAATTCCCCAACCAGCCTAGAAACAATGTAATAATCCCCAGAATTTCCGAATGCCAATCCTAGTTATTGATCAGGACACTCCCAACAACTCCAATCATCCTCTCAATGACTCCCGCATTCGTCAGAATTTCTCCAGGCAATTTGGAATCAATCAGAGAATTGATAAAAGCCTTTCTCTCCCTGACGCATGTGTTTTTGATATCCTGATAATCTTGCAAGTTAACAACAGCCTCTCGAAATTGATTGAACATCCCCAGGACGACGCACTGTCTCATTTTTTCCTCGGAATTAGCAATGAGATCGCTCTGAATGGCACACCGCCAGAGCAAACTGTCCAGCCAACTTTCCATTCCGATTGGGCCCTCATTCCAGTAATTTATTCCATGATCCTTCAGCCATAGGGTCAACTGAAAATAAAGGAGACCTTGAGAGATAAGGGATAATGGGGAATTTATTCATGCTGACGCCTCCAGAACAGGAAGAACATTCTTTGTTATCTTTGTTATATCTGTAATTCCACAGATTGGAAATTTGATGATGATTCATCTGGAATTCACTGGAAATCCAGGGTGAAATTAATTTATTCAGAAAGTGATCTTTACTTTTTGACGACAGAGGAGTGATAGGGGATTCTCCAAGATTCTTATTTTAGCGAGACTTCCCAGGGGCTCCAACTCCTTCGGATTGAGACAATTCAGATGATTTCCATCCAGACTCAACAGTCGGAGACTCGGGATTCGTTTGAAAAAATCTGTTTGAATCGTTTCGATCTGATTGTACGTGAAGTCGAGTTGTTCGAGATTTGGAATGTCTGCGAACCAGGAATTGCTGAGGTGTTGTAATTTATTGTGGGAGAGACTCAGCTTTTTCAATTTTGGAAATATGGAGAACGTGAGGGGATGCACGTCAGATATCTCGCAATTCTGGAGGTTGAGTACAATCAGAGTTCCTCGGTGCTTTATAAATGAGTTTGCCGAGATGTATTTCATGTTTGAGTTTAACATCGTTATTGCAGAGAGTCCCTCCTCGTTGGATACATCTGCTATGGTACCGTTGGAGCATTTCAGCCAGTAACCAGGTCCTGAAATATTAACTTTCATAACAGCTGGAGGAGGAGATCAAATTAAATGAAATTTATTTGACGAGAAGAGATGAAAAATAGAGAAATTATCCTTAAATCTCGAAATTACCTACAACCTAATATCCACTTTTCATGATGAGATATGAAATTCAAATTGTCATCTTTCAACCGGGGATTTCCTCTTCAACGAATTTATTTGCAGTGATTACTCGATTTTTCGCGGTACACAATTGAAATCCCATCGTAATACGATTAAAATTGAATTTTCCCAGAGCAATAAAGCCTCCAGAACGCCCCATTCAAAGGTGTGAAAATGCTGACTATAAACTTCTCTCCACTAAAAATACTGAGAATTATCCATGAAATCTGAAGTTGCTGAAAAGCGAGGATTTTCACGGATAAAGAGTCGGAGTTTTATTCAGTGTTAAAGCGAGGATTCCCGAGTTGTGAATAGTCTTTACATCGGATATTTTATGCGGCCCAATTTCTCTCAATTAATCATCCCATTCTCTTCCCAGTTTATTTGTCTTCCCCCCAGTATATAATTAAAAAGAATAATTACCTGATTCATACTGGGACTTGGAACACCTAGATTGCACAATTTCAATGGACTTTACGAAAAACAAGAGCCCCAGAGCCCAAACACTCGACATTGTTGTAGAATAAATACTGGAAACTGATGAAAAAGAATGTAAAGATATTTCACAGGATGTGACTAGAACGGAAGCTCGTGGAGATAAATCCCCGTTGGCGAAGGCCGAATAGGAAAATTCCTAAAAATACGGCTGTTATCAGTGACGAGGGAAAAATAAAGACTTGACCCAGTTTTTTTAAAATTACACCATTTTTTTTCCACAAGATTTTTAATCTCGAACGATTGAATACGATTCGGGATTCAATGTGTTTTATGTTTTTTTTGGGGGATAAGGCATCTCGAGTCTTGCGAGTTGCGGTGAAGTTAATGCACTACCGGAATTACCACCACAGGATGAGGAGCGTCTCCAGCGTGCTGCACGAATGCTGCAGCAACGACTGGTCCTTAGACAGTGGCTGAGTGATCATGGATTAAGTTCTCATTATCAGAAGTAAGAAATATTTCATTGAGTTAACGAAAAAATAACAACAAGCGATTGTCGATCCCTGATTGAAATAACGGGTGATGGATTTTTAATGGAAATTGAATTGCGGAATAATTAGAGGTACTTTAAAGGCTCATGCAGATGGAGGTGTTATCACTGGAGGATGTGTACTGGGTGGAGGACAATGAGGCGCGTGCAGCTCTCGGGAAGGATCTTCCTAAATGGATACAGGCCCGACAGTCGCTTCCTACATCGAAGGACGATCTTGAGGGACTTAAAGCTGATCTGTGGAGTTCTGTTGTTAAAAATAGTCAACACCAAGATGCCTGGACATGGGGTGAGTCGATTCAGTGGTGAGGAATGTCTCTGATGAATGGAAATAATGGGGTTGTTGGGATTTCTCCAGGTGGAATGCTAGTTGTTTCAGTCTCGGTTGCTGGACTTGTCACTTTGGCAGCTATGACACAACCAGCTCTTGCCCCAGAAGCGAAACACTCGTTGCTGCAGTATGTCACTGGCAAGTATCTTCTGCCAAGCAACTGCCGTGTACACTTTGAGTGGGACGAGCCTCAGCTTGTGGGAGAGACTATGACATTCACCGTTAAAGTACGATCAAATAATTTATCAATTTCTCTCGGACTTCATTATCCGAATGTAAAAAAATTTAGCGTAGATTAAATTATTCGATTAATTAATGATTGTATATGATAAATACAATTGAATTCGATAAATTGGTAATTACTGACTATTTCAGTTTTACCAGCGAAATGGTCAGCCCTATCCAATCTGTGACAAAGACAATCTATTAGTTGATGTATCAGAGGGTACACGAAGAGTAGCAACAGTAATAGATCTAGGTGGTACTGATCCATTAGCAGCTAATACAGCAGTCGTTAAATTTACTGTTCGTCATGCTGGACAATATCGCATAGCAGTGCTCATTGGGTCCTGTCATGTGCATGGCAGCCCTTTTCTCAAGAGTTTTCTCCCTGGCCCACCGGATCCCAATAAAACTGTTTTTGTAAGACAAAGCTCCACGGTTGTATGCACTGCTGGAATTGCCCACTCCATGACAATAGAACCGAGGGATGAGTATGACAATTTGTGTATTTTTGGGACTGACGATCAGCCAACCGATGGGTACAACGTTAATATTACTCAAGTGAGGGTTGATTAATTTGTTATGATCGCTGGGGGAACGACTGGGTGAATAATCGGTGAATTTTTTATTGTCAGATTGGATGCTCGGATAAAGGTCAATCAGGAGCATGCAATATTCATCTTGAATACGACGAACCGAATCAACGAATAAGATTAAAAGTTGGATTCCCTAAAGGGGGCTGTTACCATGCAACTGTCAGTCTAGCTGGCCTCCAGCTGCACAATGGAGACTTTGACATTATTGTACTCGAGAGTTCTGTTGCACGAATGGTACATAATAACGTGGCATCAAAGGACCCAGACATATGCTACGCTGCCAAGCTGCTGGGTATGCAGGGGGAGAGATTCTCCAAGCCTAAAAAAGTATTCTGCTTCATATCCCCGAAGCAATTGACTATTAAAGAGTATCTCCTGAGATTCATTCCAAAACGCCTCGTCACCTTCAGATTATGTCCTTCGACAAAGGTAACATTGTCAAGGGTGTGTAATTTTTATTTTTATTTACTTTTGTTCTGGTGTTTCCAGTGGGAGCTGAATGTATTTTTATCCAATCGATTTCAAATCTTATAATATGGATTTATCCAATTTTCAGTTTCATTTTGACAGTACGAATAATGAATACGAAGGGTATGATTCATTTTCCATCGATGATGGCTGTCAGCCACCGGTCGAATTAATTTCCCATTATCGTGACGTTATCGCAGCAACTTTTACCCTATTTTTACTGAAGAATATTGGAGGGAGCGAGACTTTCGCTGATAAACAGAATTTCTTTTACCACGAAGTGAGGAAACACCATCAGAAGCATTACCACGAGAAGCTTGCGATGAAAGTGCAACGTGATAAACTCCTGGAGTCGTCTATGAAGGCGACTAAGGGATTTTCTGTTAGCGAGTGGTGCAGAAATTTTGAAATAACGTTTCAAGGAGAGCAGGGTGTGGACTGGGGTGGAGTGAGACGCGAATGGTTCGAATTAATTTGCGCATCGCTGTTTGATCCAGGTAATGGGCTATTTGCATCATTCGGTGAATCACAACAGGCACTCGTTCATCCGAACAACAAGAGGCCACCCCAATTGAAAATTAAACATTATGAATTCGCTGGTCGAATTGTTGGCAAATGTCTGTATGAATCAGCACTCGGTGGATCCTATCGACAATTAGTGAGAGCAAGATTTACCCGTTCATTTTTAGCCCAAATTATTGGTCTTAGGGTACACTATAAGTATTTCGAGCAGGATGATCCTGATTTGTATCTGAGTAAAGTGAAGTATATACTTGAGAATGATGTGGAGGAGATGGAACTTTTCTTCGTTGAGGAGGAGTACGATAAAGATGGTCAATTACTTAATAATGCAGAGTTAATTCCTGGTGGGAGTAAAATACGTGTTACTAAAGACACTAAGCTACGGTATCTGGATGCACTTGCTCAACATCGACTTGCTAGTTCTATCAGGAATGAGGTCGATGCATTTTTACGGGGATTGAATGAACTTATTCCGGATAATTTGCTGGGAATATTCGATGAAAATGAACTTGAGCTTCTGCTCTGTGGCACTGGTGAGTACAGTGTTTCAGATCTTCGAGCCCATCACATTGTCAATGGTAGCTCACCCGAATTTCTTCGTGTACTCGATTGGTTTTGGACAGCAGTGAGTAATTTCACACAAGAGGAAATGGCACGATTGCTCCAATTTACAACTGGCTGCTCTCAACTACCACCTGGTGGTTTTCAGCAATTGAGTCCGCGCTTTCAAATCACAGCAGCTCCAACTTTTGCCAATTTACCAACAGCCCACACCTGGTACGGGCTCTTTCAGTCTAATCACGTTTTTCTTAGCTTGTTTGTGATGTAATGGAATTAATACTGAAATTTTTATTTGCAGTTTCAATCAATTATGCCTGCCAGACTACGAGTGCTACGATCACTTTGAAAAATCACTGTTGCTTGCTATCAGTGAGGGCACCGAAGGCTTCGGCATGATTTAAGAGATTTAATGAATCTAGTCTAATTATAATTAAATGAGGTACTTAATTTATTCGGAAAAATACTAGTCGCAGGCAAAATGTTTCAAGGCTTTGGTGCCTTTATACCACCTACACTATTTTCTCTTCAATCCATCGGTGCATTACCGGAACAGAAAAGTTTGCAATTGTCAGAGTACTTTTACAAATTCTTCTTCGAAAACTAAAAATTCGTCGACTCGCGATAAAAGAAAAATCGTAAAGTGGATGATACTGAAATCTTGTACTTTTTCCCAGAGAACAAATAAAATAATAAGTGCACGTATTGATTTTATGGGTGTCGTAACTCGGAGGTTCTGCTATAATATCTGTAAAGTTGTGAATAACAAACGAGGTGAGAACTAAACTGCACAATTTATTTTTCGACTCCATCTTATCTGGAATTGTAATTCGAATATTTTTAGATGAGGAATAATTTTAGATTTATATTGCTTTTGTGACTGCAACATTAAGTTAAAACTCGTCGTAATTATCCAATGGGTTAAAATGGTTGTTCAGTACTTTCTCATTCTTGGCTAGTGATTATTATTCCATTGAGATACAAGATGAGTAATTAGGAGAGGATATATCTGAATCTATGATATTAAAATTGAAAAATGGTTATTTTATAGATTACAAATTGAACATTAGGTAACTTGTAAAGTCTTTGTTAATTAGTGCGTATGTAAAATTATTTCGAAAGTACTCAATAATGTATTAATGAACTGATGCTTAGGAATAGTCGTGAATTTTTACTAATATGTAAGTGGAAAACGCTGACATCTCGATCATAATCGTGAATAAGAAAAATGTAAAATGCAGACACACAGTCTTTGTTGACTCATGTAGGTTTGATTGATTAATTGTAAATGACATTTCCTGCAGATTGAGAGACTGTGAGAAACGTAAAGTTATTTAACCCGTACTTAATTCATTCCGAAATTCTTATTGGAATATACTGTAATTACGATTGTGGCACTAAACTGTGAAAATGGAGGTAAATAGGCGACTTTAGTGAGATAAATTGTTTTTTAGATATTGAACTTTGTAGGGCAGTGCTGAAGGTGATTTTGACAAGTCCAAAAATTTTTACAAATGTGTCGATACATTTTTTTAAAGCCATTTATTTTTGTGGGAAACAATCTAGTGACACTTTTATTAATTTCCCATCGTTTAAAAAAAATTCTTTATTGTAAATTTTTTTTTGGACTTGTCTCAGCTCGTCATTTTACTACTGAAATATTTAGAATCGAATTCGTAAGAAACATATTCGAACAATCAACTATCAAGTAGACGCTAGGTCGTTTTTCCAAATCACTGAGTTACAGATGAAAAATGTTGAATGAAAAAATATAGAGCAAAAGCAGCAAATATCTTCGATTTATTACTCTACAAAAAATTCCCTTCACATCCTGTTTTTTATTCATTCACGACCTACGTTTTCAGATAATATTACACAAAAAAAAAAGTCTTAAGAAAAATGAACTCCATTTGATGGATCCTCTTGTTAATTCCAGGTTGAGTCCAAAAGATTGATGAATTCCTTCCAGACATTTTATATTACCCCAGGATAATTGATTGCCTCCATATTCTGTAACTCGCCGCATATTTTCCCTGAGTTTTTTGTGCTCTCATTGTTATTCATGGACGAGAGAATTACGGTGTGGCGGAGAGGAAGGAGAGACTTCTAAGGATCGCCCGAGGTGCTCTGACGACGCTTCCAGCGATTTGCAGAACTCTGGTGCTCCATCCACTCTCGTGGCTCTGACGGAGCAGTCTCTCTCGGAGATCATTAAGCTCAATTCTGTCATGAATACAATTTCAAAACGCCATGTAATTGATTGCCAGAAATAAAACGCGTCATATCCAACTCCAGTTGAATATTCTTATAAAAAATAGTAAAATTTTTTATAATTCGAGGATGAGATGCAAATCTTATCCTCAAGGGAAAAATATAAAAGCTTACAATTGCGCATTGTATGCTGTTTCAATTCTCCGAAGTGCAGCTTCTCTGTCCCCCAATTGCATCTCAAGATCATTAACGCGCAAGCCCAGAGCTTTTCCAGATTTCTCACTCGATGACAGTCTCTTCTCTAATCTAATTTTTTCCATCTCAGCCACTTTCAGAGCCCTGAGTAATTACGGGAGTGAGTAAATGATGTCAATTGCGCGATAAAAAAAAATTACGAAACCTCGTGAGCTTCTGTTTGTCTCCCTGGAGAGTATCGATTATGCCGACTTGAACTCCAAGCCTTTCCTGCAAATCTTCTCGAATTTTTTCAACTCTCTCTTCGTGTTCGATTGCTAGAGCCTCACTCCCTGAGACCTAAAAACTCATTATTCATTTAATGAGTGGATATTGAATGATTTATGCATACGATCTACATGAGTTCGTCTAGTGTTATTGATTTCTAGGAGCTACGAGTGACATTATAAGCTGTTTGAGTCATCGTGCAAAATATTGCGGCGTGAATCATCCCTTACGATTCTCGAGAGAACGTTGAACTCATCGATGCTACATTCTCATCGTCTGGTATTTCTATCTGAGCTGATCGGAATTATGTAATTCAAAACATTCGATTACAATGAAATTGACACGACAGCTGAACAATTCTCAACAACCGATTTTGTCTAGAAATAATTGCCCTGATTTTTCCGAATTTCTCGCGTTTTCACTCAGAAAAAAAAAATATAAAAACAATAACAAGAGTTATTCAAGAATATTTTCCGTCACGATCACCACGAAAAATCGTCGACGCGAGGCAATAGAGATAATTAATCAAAGCCTAAAGCGATACCTAAAAAAACAAGAGATAGTATTTTAGATATGGAATTAGTGGAATTAGTATTATTTTTCAGAACTGAAAATGTTGAACGAAATTTTCGGTGTTAAAAGGGTTTTGAAGGCTTTTAAGAGCAATTAAGAAGTTTGGGATTGGTCGAAATCCCATTATCACGAAAGTCTTCCCCTCATCTTACATTACGAAACTTTCAGCAATTAGTGTACCTCATGCTAGATTACGAGGTTGAATCCTAGTTCTTAGAATGAGAATACTAAAGCCTTGAGTCACCATTTCCGCGAAACTAACTCACCCCCAAACCACCCCCGTGGCCTCGTCTTCGCCGACCACCAGGAATGACTCACCCCTCGATCAATTCACCAGAATATAGGTCGTACTATTGAAATCCAACCGACTGTTCATTTTTCATCTCGAATTTTCCAATTTCGGGGAAAAATCAAACAGAACTGTAAATTTCCATTTCATTTTCCCCAACAATCAAAAATAAATTGCCCTCATTGATTGAATCCATCAATTATTTTTTTAACCATCTCCTGTGTACCTTCTCGAGTAGAATTTTTTTATCCTCACGAAGTTTTAGAATTTTCTCGCGCTCTTTGGACATCTGAGTCGCCAAAATTGATAGCTGATCCTTCACAGAGAGCAATTCATTCCTCAAATTCTCAGCCAACACTTCCCTGCTATCAGAGATTTGCTGGAATTTCTTGACTTCAGTCTCCGCCATCTCTTTTTCCTTCATGAAGAAAAAATAATTGATGAATAATTTGTTGTACTGATGTTTAAACACTCGGTGACAATTACAGCAATGATCTCTCCTTTTTGCTTGACCTCATCCTCGAGCTGTGCCCTGGCACCATGAACCTCAGTACTGAGTTTGGCAACTCGATTATTCTCGGTCTCCAGGAGTCTCCTGAGCACGACAATCTGCAGTTGGAGATGGTCGACCTGTTGACTGAGTTTTTCAATAGTTCCACTGAGTTCGGCCACTTCCTCTCTTCTTCTTCTCCAGGCATTAAGTGCTAATGCATGACAAACTAGACTACCAGCACTTTTGATGATTCCATCATCTTCGTTGTCCGTTTTTCCATCGACCCTTTGGGCGTCTGAACTCCTCTCACCAACCTGACCCATTCCTGATTGTCCACCAGCTTCTGGCCTTCAAGGAGGAAATGGTTCAAAAATTCAGATGGTCTGAATGAATTGCTCATATTAAAAAATTATCAGCAAGAAATCATGAAGAGATCGTGACAAAGGATTTTTTTAATTGACAGCTACCGCTGGCAGTCATCTCAAACCACTACACCATTGTCCTCTGTTCTCTGGTAAATTTTCAATGACTCTTTGATGCTAAAACAAAGCAAATACGACTTTACCCCCTGCTGAGAAATCCCTCGTGCATTTCGGTGAGTTCATTATGTGGACACGTGTTTGAGTTATTTATATCGAGTGGTGTTGGAGTTGAGCTCGAGGGATGCAATTGTGAGGAGAGAATTGATATCTTGTTGAACATTTCAAATAATTAGATAAACTCTTGGTGAATCTCTTGTCGTAGTTTTATGAGACTCCATTTGAAAATACCTCGGTATATTTATCCGAAAATCTATTTTACTCACTTTAAGAGTTATTATCTTCGATTAATCTGTATTATGGGGATCATTTCTGGGATATTCCCAGAGCAATAACTATTCTCGGATTATCTTTATCATAAATACCCTTATTATGAAATTTGGGGAATTTATTTATGTTTCCGGTTTCGATAATCATGTGCGTATTAAATTCCAATGGAACTAGCAAAATATCGCGGACATATTTCCGGAGATTCTCACGATAAGTTATTTTTTTTTTAATTAATCACGTATGTATGAGAAATTTTTCTCTTGGAAAAGAAAAATTGTTGGAAAATAGATAGACGAAAATATAGAGAGATGAATGGATTTTTTTTTTCTGTCGTCACCTGATGTGGAAATTGACATCAATTTTCGCTGGAGATAAATCGATCATTGATAGACTTTTTCTGCACGATGACGCGATCGGTGGACGAAATGTTGATGGACATGTTGCAACACCTGTGGTCGATATCCTGGTTGTTCGGAAAGAGTGTTTAACGGGCGGACGATGAAGTGGGACTCGATTATACTTGGTGACCACTTGGATCCGATTGAATTTCGAAATATTTCTGCCGGATGTTGGGACTCCAGTCCCTTTCTTCTGGGTAACACGAGATGCGTCTCCTCGTGGACCAATCCCTGATGCCTGTGGCATTTTCAAATAAGTACTTTCACCGATCGAGATTTTTTCTTTTGAGTCACTGAAGTCAGGTGAATTTGATGCTCCCATGGAAATCGCAAGACAGGTGACGATTACGCTATCGCTCTTTTATTTTTTATTGACTCGATAAAAATATTCAAGATCATACGGATTTCGGTGTTATCGTAGACTTCTCTTATCAATCCAGGAAATCAATTCCACGTATTTTCACAGCGAAAATTACGATTTTTATATATTTTCGGAAATATGTCAAACGACAAATTATTATGCGCGATGATACATAAGTTATACATAAGTCCCGATTTATCTGAAACACTATTGATTTCAGCAAAAAATAGTAAGAGATATTTTTCCAAGAAAAATGCATTAGCTACAAAAAACATTCCCAAAGTTTTCGTGTCAAATTGATAATTTTCGAGATAAATCGAAATATTGTTCATAAAAATTTTTGGTAACACAGGAAATGAATAAAAAACAACCTAGAATTGTTGGAATTATTTAAATTCTTTATTCATAAGTACAATAACAAACAGCTGATGCTAATATAAACAAAATATAATTCATAGATATATCTCATCGATTCAGGAAATAATTCGTGCGTCGTTTCCTAAGACTCATAATTTCCAAAAAATGATGCAACATTGATCATAAGTTTATTTACATGTCACTCTTACTCATCAAACGAGTAAACGAAATAAAGTGTATAGATCGCCCTTGGATGATCCAAGGTCACGTGACGATGAGCCAATGAGGGATTGGTATCGAAAGTCAGTGTGAAACCACACATTCCCGCAGTGGTTACGACTGTAGCTTTCCATTTTTCACTCTCCCATCAATTCTGGAAACAAAAACAAAAAATTAAATAAATAAATTCACCCTCAGATTAAAAAAATAAGTGTTACGGGGTGAAATTTTGGTTGACAATTCGTAGCCGAGTAGAAATGAGAAGTGAACTCCCGTGTTAAACAAAAATAAATCACCGTTTTTTTAATAGACAGCTGGAAGTGTATAGTTTGTATTTGATGATTGCGTTAGTAGATGTAGCATGTGGCGAGAATGTGATACGCGCTTGCGCATAATAATCACAACTTCGATGTTGAATTTTCATGCTCTCGCGAGGCATTCGGAAGGCACAACTTGCCGATAGAATTACAACTTGTCGAGATTACCTGAGATCCCTGGATTATTCGTTTGCACAAGTAAAAAATCACCAGGAAGAAGGATCTCCAGCAGGATCAATTCATCCCCAAGTATCGGAGCACCTGATGATCAGACGATATTCCTCTCAGTGGTTGCCTGATGATAACCAATAAAATTAATTTTCATTTCGTGTTTGTTATGCAAGGACTAGTGGAATGCGTGATTTGATAACATTCGTGATAAAAAATAGTGGAATTTCTGCAGGCAGTGGTCCAGTTTGACTGGTGGTAGGGGGATTTAAATTGGAGCGAAATTTAGCAGTGCCATGAGTTTGGAGCACAAGGCAAGTTTATACATTGTCTTGAATTTGAAGTTTAATTATAGACGTACCGTCCGGCAGGCCTAGGCTTCGACCAAAATAATGATTGGATCAGGCTTTGGCGCTCTTTGCTCCTATGTGAATCTTCTTCTGGGCGAATACTCACTTCCTCCATTCTTCACTGAGAGAAAAATTGTTCACTATATGTAGGCCTTTGCAGAATTACAATTCCCCTCTCATTTATATTTTTATTTATGTCAATAAAGAACTCCTCGTTCGTGAATTATTTTTTTGTCACTTCGAGTCGATTAATAATTTTTTTAATTATCGCTGTCGTCTTTGCATTTTTCTTTTAGGTAATTACAGTAAAAAAAATCCTTTGAAGAACAGCATGGAGCAGTCTTTTAGCACTAATAATGACTTCAATATCAGTGATATCAGTGAGTATATTGTAATAAATTGAGCAATCAGGAATTAAAAAATTACTCGGTTTTGTAATTTTATAGAATAAATTTTGGCAAACACTGGGAATATTTGAATGATTTTCTGAATCAATTGTTTTTAGTCGAAGTAATCGAGACCAATGACCCGGGATTTGTGGAAGGTGCTGCAAGCCAGCAACAGTCCCTGAATATGCTATCAGGTGGTAGAGTTGATGCTGTAAGGCCTCTGCCTGTTCCCAACTCCGGAAATACCCCGTATGCCGAAATTGTTGAACAACCGGCTGGTAAAGCCCTACGGTTCAGATATGAGTGTGAAGGTCGATCTGCTGGCAGCATACCAGGGGTCAATAGCATGCCCGAAAACAAGACATTTCCTACGATACGAGTGAGTCCAGGATTTCTTTTTAAAAAATCCTCGAATTATTCAAAAAAACGTTCAAACGAATTCCAAACGTCAAATTGACACTTGTCTCTTTGCCAGACTCATTTACAGATTAATGCCAATTTGGTGTTTGGGTTTCCTTTAGGAAATCATTCATGGAAATCTGTGATTTGCCATTGGGAAATTCCGGGAATGAACGAGGGGAGGGGGTCTTCGGTTTTCGATCTGATTTCTTCGCAATCAAGAGCTTATGTAATTTCCTTCATTCCATTTTTATTGGAATGGTTTTTTTCGCGATTTTAGGAGTATGAATTTCCCAGTGAATTCTACTCCATTTCAATTTTTTCCAATTAATTTAATCTGTAATATTGGAAATATTGAAAAATCGCAGATTGCTGGATACAAGGGACGAGCTGTGGTGGTGGTATCGTGTGTAACGATGGATCCCCCGTACAGACCTCATCCTCACAATCTTGTTGGGAAGGAGGGCTGTAAAAAGGGTGTCTGCACAATCGAAGTACCAGTAGAAACCATGACAGTGAGCTTCGCAAATTTAGGAATACAGTGCGTTAAAAAGAGAGACATCGAGGAGGCATTGAACGTGAGGGAAAAAATCCAAGTGGATCCATTCCGCACTGGATACGATCACAAGAGGCAGCCCACCAGTATCGATCTCAATGCAGTCAGGTTGTGCTTTCAAGTGTTCCTCGAGGGACCGACACCGGGAAAATTCAAAATGCCTCTGAAGCCAATCGTATCCGATCCCATTTACGATAAAAGTGAGACTCCAGTGATATTTCAATTTTTTTAATTATCACGGAATTTTTATTATTTATTTGACATTTCAGAGGCTAAATCAGACTTGATTATATCGAAATTGAGTCACTGCAGTGCATCAGTCGCTGGTGGAACGGAAGTCATACTTCTGTGTGAGAAAATAGCGAAAGAAGATATTCAAGTGCGATTCTTCGAGGAAAAGGATGACAAAGTCGTGTGGGAGGGATTGGCTGACTTTCAGCCTGCGAATGTTCATAAACAGGTATTTTTTTTTTTTGGAGGAGCACTTTGCAATGCATCTATTTGAAAGCAGAGAAAATCACTCTGTTCTGTTATGAGTTGATGAAATTGTGGAATAATTTTAATTTCAGTTTGCCATAGCCTTCAGGACTCCCACATATCGGATTCAACAGGTAGATCAACCCGTTCAAGTGTACATCCAACTGAGAAGACCCTCAGATGGATCAGCGAGTGAACCTCTACCTTTCCAGATGCTCCCCTTAGGTGCAGGTAGGCCAAACTTCTGGTCCCTCCGTAGAGCATTAACGCGGAAAAAAGCAGATCCCACGACATTCAGCAGAATCCTCGCCACCGAGGCATCATTATTCTCATCTCAAAAAATATCCCGTAGTATCGATGAATTCAACAATAACGAGCTCGATCTCACTTGCTCAAACGGAAAATTATCAGCCCTCCGTGCCCTAAACGATCTTTACAATGTTAAGAATAATTTAGGTGTTCAAAATGGTGGATCGATGAGATTGAGTCAATCTCAGGAGAATTTTTTACCCAAATACCCACGCGTTGACGATGAGAACAACGAAATAACAATAATTTCCGAATCAAAATCTCAAAATTCCCTCAATAAACCAGGAAGTATAAAGGGTGGAATTATTCCACAAAAAATTAATTACGAGTCAGAGAAAATGAGCACTAATGATATTTCTGATCCGCCGAGAGACAAAAATTGGTTGAATTACTCTGAAGTTGGTAAATGGGTGGAGAAAAGTCAGGGTTTTGAAAATTCTCAGAAGCTGGACGATTCGGACTCGAAAAATGACGAGAACGATCCAAAGCTCACTGAATTATTGACTCAAGTGGCAGAGCTCGATCAAATTTACGCAGACACTCACGAAAAAATGGTGCAAGCAGCACTGAATCGAGATCCAAAGGATCAGCAGATGGAGGTGGACGTGTGTGATAATCAAACGTACACTAGTCTCCAGATGGCAATGAAAAATCCAGTGGACATTTACGATCTGAAAGAAGACAGAAAGTACGAGGATGTGGCGGTACCCTCCAGAGAGGCGAGTATTCCCCCAGCCCGTCCACCTCCTCTGGCCGCTAAAAGGGACGTCACAAAGGCCTACGAAGAGAAATTACCTCCATTGCCCCCAAAAAGAATTCGAAAAATGCCATCGATGCCTGTATTGCCACGAACAGCCTCCTGTGGAGCTGTCAGTGAAACCGGCTCTGAAGCTCCTCACAAAAAATTACCTCTGCTCCCTGGGCCTCTCAGGCCAAAACAGGGAATATTCTCAAAATTATTTGCAAAGAGAAATAAAAAAGATAAGGATAATCAGTCGTTTAGACACAGCATTGGGGCTTTCAAAGAGAGTCTGCAAGAGTTTCAGAGTCAAAATCAATTGGCAAGATCGAGTGTCACTAGTGTCACGGGAGTTAAGTCCTTTGATATCGATGGGGATGAATCCCCACCGTACGGAATTGAACTCACAGAGGCGGAGCATTACGCTCTTTACACCGCTATGGCACCTCATGCCACTGCTTCCGAATTCGATGAAATGTCTTTCTACTACAGTCCTGTTGAGGGTGGAAAAATCCTCACCGAGGCTAAGGAAACATAATAATGTTTTCGATTTTTATGCTCAGAAATTTTTTATGTATTTTTGGCTGCTTTGAGAGTGCTCAAATGAATTTTTTTCTCATTGGAATGGGATGCAACTTATTTGTTGCATTGTTGAGGACTTTCCTATGATTTTAAATCTCTTCTAGTCAAATTACCGAATTGTTAAGTTTTTATTATTTGAAAATATTGAGTAAGAGAGATGAGGAAATCCGAGCACTTCATCGATTTGGATTTCTCTGAGAACTCAAAAGATAATTGACTCGTGATGCACAATTGCTTTTTATAATTTTTTTTATAATAATTAAATTATTATTGTGCCACCGTGATTTCCTCATTTCTCTTTGGATTGTGTTATAAGTTTTTTTTTTGACAGAGTATAATTAAGATAATGTTAAGAATGAAATTTGATACACTGGTGTTGACGTCCAAAAACACGAGGCCTTGTTGGATTTTCCTTTGAATTTAGAATTCAAAAGATCTATTGTATTTTTAATGGTGAAATTGTTTTAATGTACTGGAATGACACGAAAATTCGTAGATGATCCAGATTCGTTGAAAAGAAAGAGGAAAAAGTTTAATACCAGTCCCACATCGCTTGTTCTACGTAATTTACAAGCCGAGGCTGAGAAGCGTGAGTATTTTTCTTCTCCAGAAAATCGGAAAACAATGTGTGGATATTTTCATGTCAATATTTATGCTTCGGGTCTACTGGGCTATGGTAATCTGTTTTACAAAAAAAAACCATTTCACCGCATTGTCATAAAATTTATCAATGATAATTACTAACAAAATTTGCTTCATGTCATTTGACAATTCAAAGTACAAGCCTCGAAACTTAGTGTAAATACTCAATTACCCAAGTGGCTTTTCGGGAGAATTCTCATTGTTGATGAATTGTATTTTATACTTTTTTAATAATGCATTTTATAAGGTGGAAATATTTGACGAGCTTTGTATTTAATAACTCAGAACTATTGCATTGGCCTTGAAATAATTTTTCGAAGAATATATTTCCTCTTCAATCACTGCAAGGCTCAAAATTTTTTGAGTAATGAGATAAAATATTTTCATGCTGAGCGAGAAAGTTGTAGTGAAGTCACGGAAACTGATTCCCATGTAATTGAAAATTATCGAGAATTATAGAAAATATGTGCAATATTTGTGGCGACGGTATTTTAACGCGAGAGCAAAAGCTTTTTTAAAGGATTGAATATTTACAGAATTTATATTTACCATATTGTAAAACAATATATTATACATAAAAATATATGTTTATCTTGTCAACGTAATGAGCGTATTCTCTAGTATTTGCCCGAGTCACTCTTCAGAGTACGATAATAAATCTACAAATGATAAGGTACGGTGCATCGTTTCTAATGTGTGACGTGTGACAATTTTGCTTCTGAAAAAACAATTCGACACATTTTTCGAGACTTTTTACGCATGGGGCACATTCGCGTCAATCACCGCTCATTAATTAATCAAATGCAAATCATTTATTCAATTACCCATTACCATTGCATGAGTCAATAGCTTTACTAATGCGTGTACTACACGATTGAATGCCATTACTATTCGTGATTTGAGTATCCACTAATTATTTGAGTACGGGTGTTTCTTATCGCTTGTTTTCAAGAATGGATTTCAAAGTGAAATATTTCCATTTATCCAGAGGCTGGTATGATGAACCAACCGATGCAATACAATTTTAACCTAGTGAAACCAGAGCCAGTGGACAACCTGATGGATTATACAGGAGCTCTTCAACCTAGTGGTAGCTCTCCGATCTACGCACCGACCCCAACCCAAGCAAGATCTTCAATGTCCCCCCAGAATCTTCAAGTTCCAGGTGGAGCTGGATCTCCACTGTACGCAACAGCTCCAACCGGGGCATTATCGCCGATGTCTCCCCAGAATATTCACAACTTCAGGTAAATGAAACCATCAAATCCCTCGCCTTCGGAATTATAATATAAAAATTATTCGCAGAACGGATCATTCTCCAGGGAGAACTCCATCCCCCATGGACATGCCGTACATCCAGCCCCATACCCTGACCCCCCAGTACGCAGCATCACCAGATCAAATGAGTCCTAATCTTGCGCCTCAATTAGTGTACAATAATCAACCGATAGTAATGAACAGGCTTAATCCAGAGCAGGAGATTCCTCAGGATAACGTCAGTATGCTGGACCTCGACAGTTTCTACATGAATCAACTGGGAAGTTTGAATTCTGCCGATCTCACGGCTCTTCCCGGGGAAGCCACACTATCAGAGACCCTCTACCACTCGCTGTCCCTCTCCGACGGCCAGAAGGTGATTTTAAATCTCGCGAAATCCATTGTGGAATAATCAATCAAATAATATCTCGGATTTTTGGTGTGATTTTTTCAGGCACAACCTGATAGCTTCACCCAACTAGCCAACACTGCAATCCAGGAACTCTTCCCTCTCAACAACATGTGTCCAACATCCAACAACATCATGGATTAATTAAGATCGAAGCAATGAATATTAATTCCGTCTCTTCAATATTGATTAGCTTTTAAATAAATTTACGGAATTTCCATTCTTATTTTTTTACTCAATGACGTACAATTTACAATAATGAAATATTTCGTGATATTTTAAACTAGGGATGCGAAACAATTGGAGAATCTTTCATTGTGATATTAATGTTTTTAACAGAATTTCTCTAATGACAGATTAAATAAACGCATTGACATTTTCGTACTCAAGGAGGAATGATATTAAAATGAATTCGATATGGAGAATCATATCATTAGGTATTGAATGTATATTTGTAAAATATACGTTAAATCGATAAAATTGTATATAAAAAATGTTATTTCTCGATGCTCACTAAACGAGATTTCATTTGTTGTACTGTTTCATGAGTTATTAAAAATGTATGTGTAGTGTATCACGTTCACAGCTTATAGATCATTTGTAAGAATAAACTGAAGGTTTTCAATAATACCAGATGTTGTTGTTCATTGTTAAATAACCGATTGAGTGTCTCATCCGGGAAGAAAGGTGCAATAAAATCTCAGGTATGGGTGGAGGGGTTAAAGGCGGAGAAGGTTTTAATGGAGTTGCCGGTGGTCAGGATTTAGGGGGTGTCGGGGCAGGTAAACAACCTGCAACTTTCATTACAATCGATGATGACTCATTGGTCGGTTTGGGTGGTGACCCTTCTGCACTCTGGACGAGCAAATCCTTTTTCATCCCCCCGCGGTTCACTGTCCCCACTCTCTACCATTTAGGTAGGTCCCCGGCCCAATTTCCCCAATCGGGACTAACCCACCACTCAAAGACACTCGTATAAATGAAGAAATCTTTTTACGTCAGTCAGTCAGTTCTGAACTGGTAGCAAGAGGTGTTGCAGTTACCGTGCAATTTTCATAAAGTGTTCAGTGGAATTTATTGATATCGCACGATGGATGTGAAGACACCGTGGGTCGAGGTGATAGAGCAACCGGCGAGCAAAGAATTTCGATTTCGATATGAGTGCGAGCGAAGGTCACATGGAAGTATTCCCGGTGTACACAGCACTTCATCGAATAAAACCTATCCGAAGATAAAGGTAATTAAACACATCAATCACCCCTCATTTCCCTCATTCAACTGGAAATCATGAGGAGTCTGAATTTTTCGAGTCATTCTGGATATCATTATTCCCTTCAATTTTTAATTCGAACAATTGCATTTTATTTCTAGATCGTTGGACTCCAAACCGACGCTCATGTGATAGTTTCTTGCGTGAGCAAAGAGGCTCCCTACAAAGTCCACCCTCACCGTCTCATCAGCAAAGGAAAAGAAATAAATCACGGGGTTTTCACCATAACTGCGGGACCTGACACCAACGAAATTGAGTTGAAAAATCTTGGAATCCAGTGCGTGAGAAAAAGGGATATTAAAAAATCCCTGGAGGAGAGAAAAAGAGTGCGAGTGGATCCATTCCAACAGGGATACGATCACGGCGATCATCCAGTATTAATCGATCTCAACGTGGTGCGACTGTGTTTTCAAGTGTTCCTCTACGATCGTGACACTGAGAAATACACGAAGAAGCTCACACCGATCGTATCCGATCCAATCTATGACAAGCAAACAGTCTCTAATCTCTCGATCTCTAAATTGAGTACTGAAATGGCTTTAGCAGTCGGTGGAACATCATTAACGATATTCGGACAAAAAATCATCAAGGAGGACATCAAAGTGCGTTTCTTCGAGATACAAGAGGATAAAGTTGTCTGGGAAGCCAGCGAGGACTCTCTCCCGAGGAATAATCACGATAATCAGGTAAAATACATTCCAGAACATACGATTCTTCAATTTGATTATAATAATTCCCTCTGATTTTAAATATTCATTAATTTGTTTTCAGACAACAATAACAATTAAGACACCAGCGTATCCCCTGAAGGAAACCGATGACTGCGTTCACCTGATGGTACAATTGACAAAGCCATCGACTGGTGAAGCTGGAAAAGCCATTCCATTCACATTCGTAGCCCCAGGATGTTTCAATGCTGAAATTATGAGTTCACCAATGGACCTATCCTCGAAGAGGAAGAGAAAAGTCGTGAAGAGATGCAATTCCTTCGAGTCCATCAGGATCCCCAGCCGACTCCTAGTTTCAAATCAACCGGAGTCTCCGAATACTGACGATTCAGGAGGCATCACTCCAGAAGAAGAGGTACCTGAATTAACACCGAATATTCCTCACGAATGTTTCTATCGGACATTTGACACGCACCATTCGAAGAAGCCCAAGTACTCGGAGGGGCCTCTTCCCCTGGCTCCAGGACTTCCTCATCCTGCGATGTACCCTCCATTTCTCATCAATCCTAATCTAACTCCGATGATGATTAACAGTCCAGCGTACGATTGTCTGTGCTATCCTCCAATGATACCTCGTTATCATCCATTTCTACCTTTGATACCTCAATCATCTCCCTATCCCTTTTTTGGAAGCACTGAGCCGACTGTCAAGGACATGCCTCAGTCCTTTCGTGAGCCGAGGAATTGGCCCATACAACCGAAACCCAGAAGAATCTTTCACTCGTCTGTGATAACGCAATAAAAAAATTCTGAAGATTTCAGAGCAATTGAAATGTAAATGCAATAGGTTTTATAAAAATATTATCTTCAAGATTCAATTGACAAAGCTTTCCACAAGTACTAGAAAATGTGATATTTGATTCTTTTGATTGTACGATTCTGTATATAGTATAATAATGTGTTTTTCGTTATCAATATATTATATCTCCATTGTTAATAATTTTCACTTGTAAAAATGAGAAATGACATACACACACTGAATAATAAACAGCTTTTACATCACACCTATTATTCATTTATACCCCGTCTATCTTTTAATAAAAAATAATAAATACTTTGGGAGAAGTAAATTTCGTTATGCAAAAGGAAGAATTATCTTTTGCCTTGGAATTAAGAGAGAAATATACAGGAATTTATGAATAGGAGATTTCGAGTGAAATTCCTTTTTTCTCGACTAGGCAAAAGCAACTCGGGTGTAATACATTTACTACCTGAGATCTTTTGTAGTTCGGAAATAAATATTTACCCAAACACTGCATTCGTGAACTAGAAATCTCAGTTTGAACGCGAGTATAAGTACAATTCAAACACTTTCCTCGGCGAAATTGTGATAAATGGATCTGACAATGAGGAAAGCTTCGCCCTACGTATTAATTTTTGAAGAGCCAGCTCCCAGAGGCGTTGAATTAACCGTCCAGGACGATGGAGAAGTGTCCGGAAAAATAATTGGAATAAACAGTACAGCGGATCACGTAACATATCCAAAAATATGTGTAAGTACAACTGCATAAATTATGTGGGTATTTAAAATGGAAAAGTCGAGGATAAAGTGAAGAGAAAATCTCGCATTTAATTGCCGCCAATTATTCAATTAAATTTTCGTGATTACTGGATAATTTGATTGGATGTAATTGAATTGAATTGCAGATCGTCAGTTTGACGTCTGTGGCGTACGTCCAGGTGTCCTGTATCACCAGTGATGAACCCTATCGTCCGCACCCTCACAAATTATTTCAAAACTGGGAAAATGGAAATCCCGAGGATTTCTCCAGAGGAGTTGTCAATGCACAAGTCAGAGCGCATTATCCAGTCGCTGAATTAAAAGACATCAAGCTCCAGTATATCTCCAGAGAAGATGTCAAGAAAGCACTTGGGGATCGAAAATCTGTCCCTGTGAATCCTTTTGGAAATCCAGAGTGGAGCGATGCGGAAATTAATGGGATCGATCTGAATTCCGTCAGATTGTGTTTCCAAGTTTTTATAAAAAATCCGAACAGTGGAAAGCTTCAAGCAATCGTCCCAGTGGTTTCAGCCCCAATTTATCTGAAACCCCCAACACCAAACGTAATTACACCCCAGGACGAAATCCTCGATAACGGCTCATAATAATTTTTTAATAATAAACAGAGGATAAACACCAGTGGAGTGATGAAGACGACTCCAAGTTCTGAGAAAATTCAATCAACTGGACTTTTGAGGGGACGATTTTAATCTGTGAATTGTTTTATTGCAGTAACATTTGTCAATTGCACGTCGGCAGACACATTCGACAGTTTCTGAATAATTTCCACAATTTTATGTTTAGCAATAAATTTATCCTTCGCTTACCACCAATTTTATTGTTCGACTAGTCGCCAAACCCACAAGACCACTGTTCCATAAAAATTGTTCTAAATCACTTCCACCCTTTCATCCCTAGATACAATCCCTAGGACCCCATAAAATCATTCAACAATTGCATGTAACCATCGTCCGAGGGTGTAATAACTTCAAGGGTTAATATTGGGTCGAGAGGATTGAAACGACGAGGACGTGGTTGTAAAGCCTCATTGCACAAAACGCCGAATTTTCAAATTCCATGTGAATATATTTTTTTTTGTAGTCCCCAGTCTTTCGAGTACGTATTGCACCGGATTATGATTGCACGAGAAATTTTCTAAATAATGTCAATCCGTTTATTGCTGGTCATAAATTGAATCTTTACCTGAGCCCTTGGGAATTTCCCATGCGACTCGTTAAGGATTGCACTTCAATACTGGAGTGTCTAGGGAAATAATATAATCTTTGAATGAGTATTTGGGGGGAAAGGGAAGGGGGCAAGCAGGTAGTGTGGAAATGAAAGGGGAGTTTTCCCAAGTTTTCATCCCTGTACGATCCCTTTTCACCTCCTCCACCCCGGGTCGAGAATTAAAAACGAAGACGTATTTGGTAAATACCGGATAATTGAACTCCGGGGTATTAAATATTTTAAACTCATTGCTAAACGTGAAAATGTAAAAGATATGGAGGATACGGTGGTTGGATTAGCAATTTTGTTTTCCTCAGATTACGAGAGATTTCAATTAAATATCGGCTCAGCCGTTTCAAGGAGCGACGAATTTCCGTAAGAACAACAATTTTTCTTTTGTTCTCAAAGGAGATTATCAAAGGTTTACACGTTATTACCTGTGCAATAAAACACTTTCGTAGAAATTCCCTCGAGTGCCTTTCCCCGAAAAATTCCCATTTCTCCCACTTCTACCTGGGAGAGGTACCCAGGTTCGTACATAGTATATAATCCTATATACATTCTAGAATCGTTGGAAAAATATAAACATATGTCCAGTGGATCGAACGACTCGTCGACAAAACGACATTAGCGCACTCGCAAATATTTTCAATTATCCTGACAAAAATCATAAGCAATGGAGGTTGCGGCGCAAAGAAATCCCCCGTACATCGAAATAATTGAACAACCAGCACCGAGAGCTGTGAGATTTCGTTATCAAAGTGAGGGACGACCTTCTGGAAATTTAATCGGATTAAACAGCACAAAAGAGCGGACGACATATCCAAAAATACGAGTAAGTCTTGATCTTATTCACTCCACAATAATGCAATTACGGTATTAAATTCCAGGTGACCGGTCTGAGAACTATAGCATACGTCGTCGTGTCCTGCGTGACAAAAGACAAACCCTATCGCATCCATCCCCACAGTCTGATCAACGGAGAACCAGAGAACAACTGCCAGAAGATGTACCCTGGAATAATCAATGCGCCAGTTGATCCGAATCATCCAGAGGTGACATTTACGACTGTCAAGCTCCAGTGTGTCCCAAGAGAAGACGCAAAACGTGCCCTGATGTCCAGAGTCACTTTTCCAATGAATCCATTTCCCTGTCCAGGGTGGGAAGACTCGGATATCGGTGCCATTGATCTCAATGCCGTAAGGTTGTGCTTTCAAGTTTTTACCGAACATCCGGAGACCAGGAAGCCCCAGGCTGTGTGCTTAGCGGTGTCGGAGCCCATTTTTGACAAGAAGAGGTTTAATGTCCTGGAAATATGTCGTTTGACAACTCACACAGCTTCGATGGCTGGGGGCACTGAGCTCACAATGCTTTGTAAGAAAGTTGCCAAAAGCGATATTCAGGTACGATTTTATGAGGAAAAAGGTGGACGTGTAGTCTGGCAGGCATTTGCCGATCCCAAGTATCTACATTTTTTCAAACAGGTAAAATCCTTTCATTTTACCCTGCGATTCTCCAGACCGAGATTTAATTGTCCAATGAATGACCATTTGAATTTTTTAAAAGCAATTTTGAAGGATTTTTTCAAATTGTAGATATCAATTAAATTACGAACTCCTGCCTATCATGACGTGGATTTCCCAAGGCCAGTGCCAATTCTCATGCAATTGGTGAGACCATCAGATGGGGATGTGAGTGAAGCTGTGCCTTTTCAGCTAGAGCCCTGCAACAAGGAGATGTCTCCGAGAAAGCAAAATCCATCGGCGATGAATTTGCTGAGACGTAACAATTGCGATTGCATACCGCATCCGATTTTCCAGCCCGATTGTGAAATTCACGGGGGAAAAAAGGAGAATGAGATAAATAACATGATTAATGTTGAACTTCCAGAGGTGCAGAATGTCCCCCTGATGAGCGAACCTGAGGATCCGATGTACCCGAATTTTAATTCGATGAGCAATTTGAAAAATGATAATTTCTATCGAAAATTCGAGAATTTTCCTGCACCCTATTATGCACCCCAGAAGATTCTCGAGCCTCTGGCGCCATTGGAATTCGAGACACCAGAGCAGGAGGGGATGCACTCAGGGATATTAATGAAACCCCTGATCAAATCTTTGCGGAGGAATTTTAGCAACAGTGATCTCATTATGAGAGAAATAAATTCAGAGGAGATCGAGGAAGTTGATTCCGATACTGTCTACAATAACTTGCCGATTTTTGAACAATTTTAAGAGACTAGTTCGAATATATGTAAATATTTACTCAATAAATGACTCGGTGTAATGCTCGCATGCCAACGAATATTCGTTCGCTCTGTTTTCCCTTTTCACTCAAGTTTTTCAGATTTTTCTTTTCAATAGAATGAAAATCCAGTTAACAATAGATGATCCAAATTTTGTGGTTTTCTTTCCTGAGAATGAATGAGGGGCCCAAATCCACTGTTTAAGCCGATGAGGCCCTCCCCAGGACAGAGGAAGGGGCACGTGCTTAACTTCTCCAATCACATTGTACCTTTCATTCATATAAAGAGGGATGGAAATTTTCTACCGTCAGTCAGCTGCACGAACAGGTGCCTTGAACACGTGTCAGTGAATAGTCCGTCAATAAATAATTATCAATTGTTATTCGTTTTCGTTAAGTAATTATGAGGGCTGAAGCGTACGTGGAAATTGTTGAACAACCGGCTAGCAAAGCATTTCGGTTTCGATACGAGAGTGAGAGACGACCCCATGGAAGTATTCCTGGGATCAACAGCACACCCACACACAAAACATATCCAACGATTAGGGTAATTATTTTTAATTAACATCCCACGTATTACGTATTACGATCGCAATATTTTTATTTTTTCTATGATTTTTAAAATTCATTAAATAAATTATTCATTAAAATAAGAATTTTTAGATAAATATTTGGAGGGGAAAATAATTTAGAGAATTGAGAGAGGAATTGTCTTTCGGTATAGAATTCATGAATAATTTGGATATTTGAATGGAGAGGTGGGTTAAAATGGATAATTTGATATAAAGTCTTGGCAAATTGAAATTTTTTACTTCAGATCGTCGGACCCTGGTTAAATGGCCGAGTGATAGTCTCCTGTGTGACGAAAGACGAGTACAGAGCACATCCTAATCGTGTTGTGAGCAAAGAGGCCGGTTCCTACCACGGAATATTTACAACAGCCCTAGATCCAAATTGCAACGAGATTGCGTTCAAACATTTGGGAATTCAATGCGTGAAGAGAAAGGACATTAGAAAATCCCTAGAAGAGAGGAAGCAGACGGGTGTGGATCCATTTGGAAAGGGATACGATGACACTCGGATAACAGCTGATGACTTGAACACAGTGCGACTTTGTTTTCAAGTGTACCTCAGACCCCCGGGGGCAAATTCAAGACAAGGGGAGATAAAACTTAAACCTGTTGTCTCTGATCCTATTCACGCGAAACAATCAACTCTAGATTTGGGAATATGTCAATTAAGTTCAGCTGTGGCTTCAGTTGCTGGAGGTACACCGTTGATGATATTCTGTCAGAAAATTATGAAAGATGATATTAAAGTTAGATTTTTTGAGGAACGGAAGGGACGAGTCGTTTGGGAGACGTTTGGAAATTTTCATCCATCTAGGGATGTCTTTGAACAGGTAGATTAATTATTTTTAATTGACCAATTACTTTGACAGTTTATTTGATAATTAATCTGATGAATTTTTTGTTTTAATATTTCAGTCGGCGATAATTCTCCAGACCCCTCCCTATTACACCCAAAATGTCGACAATCCAGTGAATATTTTCGTTCAACTTGTGAAACCAACAACTAATGACGCTGGAAAGCCCGTGTCTCTACAACTTTTGCCCTCGTCTTCAATGAGGAATACACCAACGGATGCGGACATTGAGGTATCCCTCAAACGAAAAAGAAAAAATTTCAAGAGCATTGACCTGCTGGAGCACCCGAACAGGGCTCCATGTGGCTGCATCCTGGCCCCGATAATCAACCCTGAGTGTCCAATCCACAATCCTCAGGGGAAGAGCTTCAACCAAGAAGTCAACCCAATACACCACAAATCAGGATTTGAAGGCACATGGAATGTTCCTCAAATGAGACAAAAATTATTTTACTACAACGAGAGCATCAGTATTGATGGAGCAGTTTTGAAGAAACCAAAGTACTCCACTGATGCTCGTTCACCACCAGTTTTCAATGCAGGGCAGAATGCTAATTCAAATATTCTGGAAATGCCTCTGAGAGAATTTAACAACCCGACGCCGTGTGAATACCGAAATCGACCTACGGTGGGACCTAGTTATCAGCCATTACCCTCACCACATCCTTCACAATGCATGTACCAAAGCCCTTTCCCCAGGAATACCACCCCCATCGCACCAGATGTGCCCGCAGTGCCCTTCAACAATCAGCGAGATTGGCAGGTGCAACCTGAACCGATATTGCAACCTATAATCGTGAAATTGAGTGACCAGCAAACACAACCATTCAATTACGGTGAGTATCCGTTTTTCTGGGAGCAATTTGCGTGGGAAGTTCACGCTTCCGGGTATTTATCTGATTAATTCATTACTGAAGGGTGTTTTTTTTGTTTTAGACTACAACTCAAGAGCTCAGACTGATATGAATCAAAATTTATTGGACTTTGATATTGGCGACAGATTGAATCAACTCTCTGATTCTCTGACAAGTGCCCTGAAACTCAGCGAGGAAATTGATTTTGAGGAGCTCAGCAGATACGAGAGAAATGATAATAATGGAATTGGCTTAATTGGCCACGAAACGTACGAGGAAAATGATTATGCGGTTCAAGGAATTTTGAAAGCCTCTCAGAGCCAAAAACCACCGGACGAATGGATATGGGATTCGAGAATAAATTGACTCCGAAGTGAACTGATTAAATATAATAAATGTTCTTTTTATTTTGTTGAATGAAATATTCCTCGTACTGATTGATATCAAGAGAAAATTTCAAGAGAAAAAAAATCAACAAAAAGTCGAAAATGGATATATCAGGTGGTAATGCCTCTTTACGACAGAATTAATCTCGATTTTATCTGAAACTCTTTTTTTTTTCTTGACCACTAGAACGATGTGATATCCTTTTGTCATGAGTTACTTTTGTATTTATTGCTATTTTTCCTTTTTTGTTCATTTTTCACTTGTAATATACAATTAACGTGAGTCAAAGTATCAAAAGAAAATGTTTTCATGTTTTTCTCATTCACTTTTGTTACATATTACACATTACCCTGTTTTGAAGCCTGTGATAAATGGAAGTGACGCGTGATAAGACTAAAATGAACTAGTAGAATAAAAATAAACGATAAAACGATATTTGAATTCTTTTATTGTTTGTCAAAATGTATTTACTTAAAAATACAAAGTTTCTCGTCAATTCTGATGGAATGGGCAGAAATATTCATTCTTCTTTTCTTTTATTTTTTATATCGAGATAAAGTGATTATTAATCCTGTACAAAAAGTCATTGAACAAGACATTTTTCTTTATGAACACACAAACCCAAACTCTTAGCCTAATGTAATTCTTTTATTTTCTATCTTCAATTAAGTTTTTCACTAAAATGAATCAGTGTTGGAAGTGGGTGTTCTCTAAAACAATCTGCAGCTTCCCTCTTTTATTTCTATATAACATAAGAAATATTTTTTTTTCTCAACGGTATTTTTTTTAATTAGGAGTATAATTCCCGACTCTGAGGCTCTGGGGTGAGCGAAATGCTCATCCATTTCTAGAATCGCGAGGAAAAAATAATTTCTTCACAGGTGACCGAGAAAACTCATGATCAATACTGTGATATTTCTAATATATCCCCATTTCGCCCCAGTCACAGCAGCTTTTGCACTCAACAAGAGAAAAAAAAAATAAAAATAAAAAGAAAATGATAAAAAAATAATGAAACAATGAGCATGGAAGTAATCACAAAGAAACTCCATTATTCTAATTAGAGTTGTGAGTGGGGAGAAAAAAAATTATCGTTATTCGTAAATGACCATTTGTTCAGCATATTGTCTTATAGTTTGAACATTCGAATTTTATTGAAAATGTACAATCGAAAGAGAATGAATTTTTCGTATTCCCGAGGTAAAGACGCTTTGTGTTGGCAAAACATCGTGCACTGTATTTCAGTAGGGTCTCCCTACTAATTACCCAGAGTTTAATTCCTTCTCATTAACTAGAATTCAATTTTTCATGATTAATTTCAATTTGTTCTTTAATCTGTCGCAAATTTAAGTTCACATCGTTACTTCGTTAATAATAAATTGATTTCTTATTTGATAACTTTATACATGCTATGTATAATTATTATGCAATGGTTAAAGTCACACATGTAGTCATACACACCTGGTGAACATTGCAAATCGCAACGAGATGTTATTAAATAATGCAAGGCAGGATAGGAAATAAAATTGATCAATCTGTCACTGAAGTTTTCGATTATTGAAAAAAAAAACGAATAATTGTCTTTGCATAATTCATCTATACATCGAACAATTGAGCGGTGCTGTGCCTCGGGATCCATGATTATTCACTTTTGTATTACGTATTAACGCACCACTATTTCAGTTAATCGTCCATTCAACCCTTAAACTACAATTTCTATATTAATTTTTTGTTTTTACTTAAAATCGGTCTGCCAGACTCACACCTCTGCTACGACACTTTTTTCTTCTTCTATTACACATTTAATTAAATCGGCTTGTCGTTTTCATAAGTTTCATTTTAATTTGCATCAAATTAATTCATCTCATTGTGTATTATTTCTTTTTTTTATCCCTTGAAATTAAAAACTCAGTCACGCGCACTATGTGAGAGACATTCGTCGATCTACAAACGCAATTTGATTTCAAAAATGTAAAAAAATCATCACTCCCACAAATGTCCATTTTACACTATTTAAATACAATAGAGCTTTTTCCTTATCATTTCTTAAATAAGTTTTTTTTGTTTTTTTTTTTCGTTTTTATTCATTTTTTTAGTCATTATAAAACTGTTCCGTGAAGAAAGCCAGATGGCGACAAATACCAAGGAGTTTGACAAATGATTATTTCTCCGATGACAAAATTAAGAGTTAAAAAATAATAATAAAAAAAAAAACGATATACATATGTATACATATATATAATCGCCGCGATATTCGACGTAATGCTAAGGTGTAGGTGCATTTTTCTCTAAAGGTGGAAGGCTCCGACATAATCAGGTTGTCATTGAATATTTTGAAGAGTATCTAAGGAAATTCGCTTCATTAATCATCTCGGAGCAGTTGAGACTTCAATTGTCATTTTTTTTATTAAAAAAAAAATTCTCGTCACAATATCGATGATTTTTCAGAAACAGTATTTGGTGATGGCTAGAAGGGGTGCCAGAATTGCAATGAGCCAAGGGTTATATTGCTGCAGGTGTACCACAAAAAAATTGTGTCGGCCCGCTACAACTCTGGCATGAGTTGGATCATAGTATTTTATCATGAACTCCTTCATTATTTTTGTAATTAATATTTGTTTCAGCTATTGATTAGGAGGACTTGGGCGAAGGCGTCAATTTTTTCCTTTATTTATTTCCTTTTGTTCTTCATAAATCGTTACTGCTTTTATTATTTCAATCGCTAACCAACCGCTCAATATGAGAGTAAGTGTTTTCGCTTTTTGTGAAAAGATTGTCGGTGAAATTCGACGATGGCGCCATCTGCCTCCCCTTCTTACTTACTTAACATTTTTATTTTTTGTTTTTTTTTTCACCAGTTTGTTTATTTCTTTCATTTTTTCATTATGCGTCGTCCTCTTCGTCTTCTACTTCACCCTCCACTTCACCCTCGGCGTCGTCGTCCTCTTCCTCTGTGAAGGGTTGAAGGTTTTAATTAATACCATTTGGAGAAGAAATTTTTCGATTGCAATCGGGGCTTTGACTCACCTTCGCCGTCATCGAGGTCCTCTTCACCCTCAACCTCGTCGTCACCTTCCTCTTCATCACCGTCTACTTCCTCCTCTTCGTCCTCAACGTCCTCGTCAATCTCCTCCTCTTCAACATCACCATCCCCGTTCTCCTCCTTCTTCTGTTTTTTCACGTCGTCAGCTTTGTCCTGAACATTAACAACAAAATTCATAACGAAAATCACGGAAATATTTTGGTATTTTATTATTGTGTTATGGAAATGTTATTTAATAAAAAGGAAAAGGTACTTAGGAGAGGAGGCAATTTGAGCCAAGTGTGAGAGCTTTTCTTCTGGAATCACAGGGATATTGTAGACAAAAGATACACTAGGAATTAAAAAAAAAGTAGGAACGTGTGTTGGAGCATCAATTAACAATCACCCGGTGTGTCCCGATACCCCGTCCTGCCACAAAAGCAAGAAAAAAAATGGTGGAATTGGCAGATGTTTTTCCCGAGGCACAGGAAAAATAGTGGGGGATGATGTAAAGTTTGTTGTAGGGGAAGTAAAAAACCTGCGGAATGTCGGAAATGGATAAAAAAAAATATCCTGACATTATCATTTTTTAACTGTCCCCCAAACAACAAATTCCCAGACGCAATTGACCGTTAAAATAAATGAGATCCATTCTGTCGAGATAGAAAAAAAATACTACTTTGAATCGAAGAATTACCAGCAACTTATGCAATTGATTTTTTTTTTCTCATTTGTTTACTGGAAAAAGTGGTAGACGCCAGTGGTGGGGTACATTGGCGTGGAACTAAAAATCGAATAATTCTCGAACAACATAACGATTACGTATCAACCAGTCACTAATCACAAGGTCTCGAAGAGATAACCTAGGCATTTTCAAATTCATTTCAAAGATTTTTTTTTTTCGCTCCACGAGAATGGACGAGGAACTCGCCCCATTAAAACAGACCATTAAATTTAATCAAGCGTAATTCTCATCACCTGCGGATGGGTTACGATTAGCTGATTTATCTCAATTACACCAATCAACTCCACAATTTAATAATATTAATGCAACTTGTGAAATTCAAAAGCAATACCTCAATCGGATGATAAAACGAACCTTTTTATGGAAAAGTAGGAAAAGAAATGAGAGCATCAATAGTATCATTGCGACAATAATGTGGACAATCGAGTGGATTTGTGATATAATCGAACATGGCGAGAAGAATCTAAAATTAAAGTCGAACTAAACCCGCGTAATTCCCGCGGTTTATTTGAAAATTCAATCTCGAAAAAGCGAATGGAGTCGAACAATTCCCACTGACTTCTCAATTTCCATTTTTTTAACATCGAAATTCCGAGGATAAACGTACATCATTGGATTATCCGTGTAATTGAGGACGCAAATGGATGAAGTGTTGATTACAGTTGAAACAACGGCAGCACCGTCAACTTTCGATTCAACTGATCACTCATTTCAGTGGGTAAACGAGCAAACTGTATTACCCAGCTTTTCCATCAAATTCGGGAGTAATCCATGAATTTACTCCGCGAAATGACAATTCCCCCTCCATTACAATGTGCGCAACAACGAGAGAGAATGAGAGAAAAAAAACCGTGGGATTAGGTAATCGCATATCAATCGTCTGATTGTCTCGAAATACCTTTGGATATATTCGTATATTATTGAAATAATAATTAATTATAATTATATTGGAGGAATGAATAAATGTGGATAATGATGAAAAATAATGGAGATGAGGAAAATAAAGAGAAAGGGGGGAGAAGGGAGAAAATGGAAAAATGGGGGAAATGAAAAAAGAGGTCATGAGTTTAATATCGAATTAGTCAATTCCTGAACGAGAGAATAGCCTTTAACTCATCGATCGATAATAGCTTTCTATAATCCAGTGTGAAATAGGTAGGTTTGGGTGGCACGCGTTGTTTCTCACCCTGAAATATGGCTTTTCTGGTTTTGGATGGTGGAGAGGACTATAATACATTGATGGTTGAAGAGAGAAGCGCGCGCGTACGAGTTGAAACGAGAAGTCGCGCCGGTTCCACGTGACGTACCTCAGGAAGGCGAAGATAAGTGATGAGAAGAGGGGGCTTTTCAGGGGAAAGAGGATTTAAAAAAAAAAACGTATGAAGAGAGACACGAGATGCTATGGGTTAACGGAGACGTTTACTCCTTGATAAAATAAAATTTAAAAAAATAACACGATGAGATGAAAAATAAATTTTCAATCACATCAACTCCATCATCATCAGCCTATCCTGTTGATTTTTCATGCACCTGGTGATCCCGATGGCAATCATGGAAAAATCAGGAATTGGTAATGGGGAATGGAGAACGAGGGAAACGAGTGACGCGATGTTTTCTCGAAAGTTCGTAAAGTATCAGAGGGAGAGGGAGATAAAGTAGAGACGAAGCAGGCAAGCGCGCCAAGCGACATCATAATACATGGCGTTGCTGTTGGCCTGCTTGTTCCCAAGAGAAGGGGATCCTCTTTCTTTATCAAGTAAATGTTTCAAGGAACATAGAAAAACCAGTATACATAAAAATTACGAAAGATGTCATCGAGAATTTTCGACCACTCTACTCCCACAACAGATCGAATAAATAAATTTCCCTGGGGAAAATTGGGGGAGGGAGAGTCGAGGGATGGTGGGTAACGAGGGGGAAGAGGGGGGTCGAGGGGGGGAGCAGCCATGATGGTGGGACCCCAGGTCGGCCATGGGGTGCCGGAAGGAAAATGCGCGGGAGATGCCAAAATACAGCTATTGCTGTTGTAAATGTAATAATACCAGGGGCTTGGGGGGGGAGGGTAAAATATGCATTTATGACAGCGTTGCATGAAAATGGCGGATTTTGATCAGCGCGTCTCAGACATGTGATATCGCGGTTTGAGAGAATTAATTATCTGGAAAATATTGGAAAAATTTTCGATGTGACGCGGTTTTGTATGATGTACTTTTTGGCGAGCACATGGCGGATAGAACGGGTTTAATAGAGGACGGCGCTGTTGTGGCTGATAAATAGAAAATAATGGAATGCCTTTTTGATAGGTTGATACCATTGGGGCAATGTTATTTTTTTTTTTTAAATTATTGATCAGTGGTTCAGTGGGGGGAGAGTGTTATTCGGCGTAATGTGGCATTGGTAATTATAGATGAAAAGCATTGTGACGATTGCAGGGAACGTACACCTCCAGGGGTGATCAACCGAAGCCACGCGACGTTATTTCAATGGCGTCCACTTTGGCGTGTACGACGCACACACGCGTTTTGTCCGACATCTTTATTTTTACATTGGTCTATTTGTTTTTGGTTGGGCATCACTTGGTACGTGTTGAATTCACGGGGATAATCGAAAAAAAAAATATACCACCGAGGAATGTGAATGGGAGTCAATGGCAAAATGAGTGACTACCACGAAAAATGCCGGCCGGCGTTTACACTTTATTTCTCGAGACACATGTCGCTTTATCCTTTAATTCATTGACTCATTGGTGGCTCAATCGTATATTTGGATTTTTTGGGGTGATTGAATTGCTCTGAAAACCGAGTATTTATCACCCACGCGAAGAGAATCACAATAGACTGTGGTGGTGGGGGGGTTGTGAGGGGGAAATGTCGGAAAATAAAATAGTTTATCGAATGGAGGTAAACCAACGTCACTGGGGCGTCCAAGTATTTTTCCCGCTTGAATCAGTCCACGACTCTCCCCCCATAACGATTGAAAAATCAAATTAATTAATGTGTGGATGACAATGAGATAATGAATTGATGGGAAAAACTCACCTCAGCCGCCCTCTTGATCCCTTTGAGTTCGCACTTCGCGTCCCCGGACGCCTTGTCGTTTTCCGTCGCCTTCTCAACGGCAACCTCGTTGTTTTCCTTGGTACTCATCGTTGGCTTTAGGTATTAAATTAATTATTAAGATTAAAATGTGCGTTGATACACGTCACGTGTTATTTCCGGGGGGGAGTTTGTTTGATTTTGAGATGAACTCTTTTTCTCGATTTTTTTATTAATTTGAGGTTTAAGTATTGGTGGTCAGCACGAAGCGCGTAAACGTGTAATATGGGCGCGTAAAAAGAGAACCTCGAGGTGAGTTGGGAAAAAAATTGGGTGCGTGCTCGCGCGGCGTCGGTTTCCGGCGAAATGCCCGAGAGAGCAGCGTCGTCAGGCGAAACCAGGCGAAAACCCCAGGTGGTGGGGATGGTGGAGGGAGGGTGGAGGCTGAGAGGGGAATCGATGATGAGAGGGGAGAGAGCGAGTGGGAGAGTGACCGAGCAAGGGGACAATTAATTCGTTGAAGTGAGATGGATTAATGCAATGACAAGAATGTCCTTACAACATCAACAAAATATCACTGAATTTCACTATTAGTTTCACCTACCACGATAAACTCCGTTATTTTATCCGATCAATTTGTCCCCGATATTTTTCACTTCTCGTCTTTTCTTTTTCTTTTTCACAAATTGTTATGCACTGGACGCTTATGTGTTCTAGTCTCAACTCGGCTTTGTTCAAAAATGAAGATGGCGCGGGTTTGAAACTCGATAAATCGCTGATTGGCCAAATTAAATTCACGGTGTTTTGGAATAATTTGGTTATCGATCGAATTGCTGGTGTGAAGTTTTGGTGATGATTGATGGGGAGATTAATTTGGGGGTCAGATCGGTGGTTTGATTTGTCGGTGAAATTAAAACGACTGATGGGTGAGGGGTTCGAGAGTTCGGGGCCGGAGTGGAATGTCCGGTTCGAGGCTACGGAATTGTCGCCTTTTCGATTCAAAATGCTGGGGGGCAAGCTACATCAGCGCTGATTGTACCGATCATTTACCTGGAATTATTTTACGAGTTGATAATTAGTGGCGAATGAGAGGTTTGAAATTTTTTTTTTTTCGCATGAAAATTTGCTAGCCAGATTTTTTTTATTTGGATTTGTATTTATTTCACGTGGAGATAATTTTATTGGGCTTTTCTGGCGGTCTAGGTGGCGTTGAGGTCGATGGGGATTGAATATTACGATGGCCTTTCAAAAATAATACTCCGAGAATGTATTGGAATGTGCACTTGTGACTGGCATTAGACGCAACCTTCGCCCTTTTATCGTTTCATAGATTCCAGAGTCCTTGAAGAGTCTCGATGGAATATTATGTTGCCATTGTCAGCTGAGCACCAACAATGCGTGAATTCGCATTCTAAATTATACATTGTAGGGGCATTGGCGTGATAAACATCCGGAAAAAATCAATTCTCTGGTGATTTTGGCATGAGGAATATTTGCTGGGGGTTATTTGTCGTTTAGGAAAAATTTTCGACTTTCGGGAATTAAATTTCCGGCTGTTGTGGAATTTATCTGGTGATACCTGATAACGAGCGAAAATCATTTTGAGATGGGAAAGTTGAGCGCCAGGTTATGTAGATGCGCATGCGCCTTCTATGGCCATCTCTCAGCATCCGGTTTGAATTGTTCATTTCCTTTTCCTTCTAAACATCCAAGATGGTAGGTCGATCGTGAATTTTTCGATTCCCAGTTTTCATCCGAATTTATTCCGATAATCATTCGTATTATCGCAATTATAATTCAGAATATCTCATGAGCGTTTAGTGGAGTTTATTATCGTTATAATATTTTTTTCGCTGTTTGCAACTCCATGCCTGCACTGACATAATCGTCGATCATAACCTATCACAATTATCTGATTTAAATTGTTTATTAAAAATATTGAATCATGGGAAATTAAAAAATTCAGCCAGTGACGAGAATAAATAATTGGGAAGGGTTGAGTGAGAGTTATCTGTGATGGATTAATTTTTTTGTGCCGAAAATTTGGAGTTTCTTGTGGGAGGTTTCGGGTATTGATAATGTTTTTTTTTTAGGTGAATGTGCCCAAACAGAGACGCACTTTTTGCAAAAAGTGCAAGGTTCACAAGCCCCACAAAGTTACTCAGTACAAAAAGAGTAAAGAGAGACATGCCTCACAAGGTCGTAGACGTTATGACCGTAAACAACAGGGATTTGGTGGACAGACGAAGCCCATCTTCAGGAAGAAGGTGTGCACTGACATTTTATCAATTATTTATATCCGTCAGCTATAAAAAAAATTACTGTGAATTACTGTTCTTGAGAGGAAAGGCAAAATACTGATTATTGTCTACGATTTGCTTTCAGGCTAAGACCACCAAGAAAATCGTGTTGAGGATGGAGTGCACAGAGTGCAAATACAGAAAACAAATTCCCCTGAAGCGTTGCAAGCACTTCGAGCTTGGAGGTGACAAAAAGAGGAAGGTCAGTGTGAATTCAGAAGTTAAATTAAAATCACGACAAGTGTAATTGGCCAATTTAAAATTGTTTTCAAATGAAATGTACTCAATTTTTTTACAGGGCCAGATGATCCAGTTCTAAGCTTAACATCTTGGATATCCATTGTATAAAAAATAAATAAATTCCCAGGAATTTATAAATATCTGTTCATTATTTATTAATTTCATTGAGTAAAAAAATACACAAGTGATTGATTTATTCGGTTTGAGGTGCGTCTGGTACAGCTTTGGGTACTTGTCGTTGGGGATCACTGAAAGAAAAAAAAAGTGATTTAGAAAAATTGACGTTTCGCCACGAGGATGGAATGAATGGGTATAAATAAATTGTACTCGAGGAGAGATGGATCGAGGCCTTCCTGAGTCATCTTCAACTTCACAGCTGGCTTTGGAACACCGAGGTTCACCAGTTTGAAGTATTTTTCATAGAGTGGGTGTTTATTTATCGATTGAAGTTCTGGGGATGGCACTTCTGGCTCCGCTTGTATTTTTGCTTCTTCGATTATTTTATCTGGCTCATCAATGTCCACTGGAACTTCTCGATTTTCTGGTTCTACTGTCTGTGGTTTACTGTCAGTCTCAATATTCTTAGGATCACAGGTTTTCAGTTCATCTGGTTTTTCAAGGAGATTCGAGTCCAGACCTGGTATTGATGCGAGCTGAAAGAATTAATTAATCAGAAAAAATTGGAAGTCTTTTTATTTCATTAATAGAAAATCCCCTATCCCTGTCGGGATGTAACAGTGAAAAAATAAATAAAATAAATAAATATAAATAATATAAATTGACTTACTCGAGATTCAAGAATTACCAGAGCAGCTTCTACCCTCTGAAGTTTATTTTCAAATTCAAAAAGTCGTTCTTCGCAATTTAACGCGAATTTATTCAAAAACGAGACTGTATTCACTACAAAATGATTTATAAATGATACAGTACGTTTTTGATGAATCGGTGGCACCTGTCGATAATTAAATCATGTGGATCGATAAAAATTGTAAAGATCAGTAAATCATCAGCAATTCAAGTTGATACATAAATAATAATAATTGATACCTTTGTGTAATCTACCGTAGGCTCAACTATTGGAATACTACTGTCGTTCATGGTGATTTTTTTCCTCTCATTCCATCGAGAAAGTTCGAAATTTTAACTAATTGCACCAGAGTCACAATAAATATCACAATGATTTTATAATCATTGAGAGTCGAGTCCAGATTCCATGACACCTCCTGTCAGTGATGGAACCAAAGAGGATTGACTAATGTAGAGGCTCAGTTCTGGGGGTTTAAGTGACCCCAGTTGCATTGTAGTACTGCACCCCAAGAGAGGGAGGGCACCACACGCAATGCTGGGGTGTCCAGGAAGTCGACGGGGTGAATTTTATTTTCTGTTGTATGAATGCTTTTTGTTTTTCATTTGTTTAACTGAAATTTAGCCGACTGTAGCACGTACGGAAGGAGGAAACCACATCTTGTGGAATTTCAATGGAAAAAATTATTCAATGTATTGAATATATACCACTAATGAATTTATAATTTATAATAAGCGCGTTGTCCTAGCGGTAACGTGCTCGACTGGCACGCCGGCGGCCCGGGTTCAATCCCGGCATCATTCATTTTTTTTTTTTTTAAATAATTTCAATTTTATCTTTTTTTAATTGGTTAATCAATCTAAATATCGTTTAAACACTGAATTTTTGAAAAGCGGAAAGATATCCTGTGAAATTGACAAATTAACAATTTTTTAAAACGATACTTTTGCAAAATATATACTCCTAATGAAATTATATTATTGTAATGTTGCGTTATCCTAGCGGTAACGTGCTTACCTATCACGCCGACGGCCCGGGTTCGATCCCGCCGTCATTCATTTTTTTTTTTAAATAATTCCAATTTTTTCGTTCGATAGGTATTCACTGCAATTGAAAAATTCGAAATTTTTGAAAAAGTATCAGGGGAACATAAAAATCGAGGAGCTATTCACTGAAAGTTTCACTGAAAGGGAAAAATTCGAAATTTTTGAAAAAGTATCAGGAGAACATAACAATCGAGGAGCTATTCACTGAAAGTTTCACTGAAAGGGAAAAATTCGAAATTTCTGTAAAAGTATCAGGAGAACATGACAATCGAAGAGCTATTCACTGAAATTTTCACTGAAAGTGAAAAATTCGAAATTTCTGTAAAAGTATCAGGAGAACATGACAATCAAAGAGCTATTCACTGAAATTTTCACTGAAAGTGAAAAATTCGAAATTTTTGTAAAAGTATCAGGGGAACATGACAATCAAGGAGTTATTCACTGAAATTTTCACTGCGAGTGAAAAATTCGAAATTTTTGTAAAAGTATCAGGGGAACATGACGGTCGAGGAGCTATTCAGTTTTTAACCAATATTTCGATTTATTAGCCAGTTACAAAAGAAAAAATTGGAATTATTTAAAAAAAAAAATGAATGACGGCGGGATCGAACCCGGGCCGTCGGCGTGATAGGTAAGCACGTTACCGCTAGGATAACGCAACATTACAATAATATATTTTCATTAGGAGTATATATTTTGCAAAAGTATCGTTTTAAAAAATTGTTAATTTGTCAATTTCACAGGATATCTTTCCGCTTTTCAAAAATTCAGTGTTTAAACGATATTTAGATTGATTAACCAATTAAAAAAAGATAAAATTGAAATTATTTAAAAAAAAAAAAATGAATGATGCCGGGATTGAACCCGGGCCGCCGGCGTGGTAGGCAAGCACGTTACCATTAAGACAACGCGCTTATTTTAAAATTAAAATTTCATTTGTGGTATATATTCAATATATTAAATAATTTTTTTCATTGAAATTCCACAAGATGTGGCTTCCCCCTTCCGCTCGTTCTACAGTCGGCTAAATTTAAGTTAAACAAATAAAAAATAAAAAGCATTCATATCGCAGCAAATAAAATTCACCCCGTCGACTCGATGGACACCCCAGCATTGCGTGTTGTACCCTCCCACTCTTGGGGTGCACGATTCCAATGGTGGAGTTATCGAACTGCCATTAATTTAATTCGACTATTAAATTCGCACTGGACCTATTCTTCGCTGAAATGATTTAATCGAGGCTTCCCAGATTTTTTTCGAAGTGCTTCACGTCGAGAATTCGATAGATTCGTGTCAACTCTCGGTGAGACCCAACTGTAATCTGGTAGACGAAATGACAATCTCTTTCTTGATTTATCGGAGTAATTGACTGATTCATTTGCAGTAAGAGATCTGCAATGGAAAGATTTTCAGTGATAATGAGTCGTCGAAGCTCTTGGATCCTCTCTTTGAAATTGAATTACATTGCACTGTCATTGGCACTTGAATATTCTGCAATTGCTCTTGGTAATTTTTCTGATCCCTCCGTCTGCGTTGAACTGGTTGCTTTATTAATCTGCGATTATGTGTGTTAATTAATCTGCACACACCTCAATTAAAGTCAGAATTAATTCGTTTATTTAAAGAATTATCTCACCGACAGTTCATTCTTCCACAGTCTCATCATGTCCAAAACATTAGACGATTCTGTACTTATTTGTCCAGATACTCCCTTTTCGTAAAAAATTCAGTGTTGATTTTACAAAATTATTAAGAGACGCTGAGAATTCAATTAATTTTATGTCAATTAACCGATATCCAGGTGTGATGATTAACTTCAGCAGCGGTTATCCTGAACGCAGGATTCCTCTCCAGTAATTTACTGAGTAAATGTTTCGCACCATCAGAGCACTGGAGCACTTGAAATAAATAAACAATTACCTCTGATAATCAAATCGTGCGAAAAATATTCACCAGAGTAATCGACATCCGCTGTAGTTATCAATCTGTACAGTTGCATCTCGTTGGTCGAAAAAAATGGAAATTTTCCAGTGAGAAGAACATACATTATTACACCCATCGACCACATGTCACATTGTTGACTGTATGATTTAGTTGTCACCATCTCAGGTGCTGCGTACAAAAGCCCGGTAATTTCAGTATAGATTGCCCTAATTATCCATTGAAATGGGAGACGTAATCAAATTCTGTGGCCTCAGGCGGTGAATTACGCATGAAATATTAAATCCGTCTTGATTGAAAGGGCAAAAAACTTTTGTACCAATCAATCATCGGTTTTTTCACTTCAATGGAGAATTATTGATTGAAAGAGTTACCCATGTACGTGATAGTGCCACAAAAATCGTGGAGCATGTTATCGTGTCCAGGACCATTTCTCATGGCACTCAATCCGAAATCCGTTACTTTAATGTACAGCTGATCCTCGGGATCGATCGGATTTCTGGTTATCAGGATATTCTCTAGCTTTAAATCACGGTGAACTATATCTGCAGGAGAGACTGTCAATTTGTGATTGAGATTTTTTACCATTTATTTTTTTTTTTACCATTTTTGTGGAGATAGCCGAGGGCACATGCTAAATTTTTTATCACGCTCAATGTTTCTGGCTCTTCGAACTGCTTCTTTTCTTTCAAGGTATTAGCTAGAGAGTCAACGCAAAGTTCGAATACTAGATAAATCACCTGGAAAATATTTGACGTTTTTATTCTGTCACTGGAATTTTTCTGGGTGAGGGAAAGATGAAGAAATTGATCGACAGATATTTTGGAGAAAAGGTTCAGACATTTGCACTTTAATCTGTATCAAATTTTCAGACTTATTGTACATTTGTCACTATTTCATACTTTCGGAGATTCGAAGACACAATCTAGTAGAATTATATTGGGATGGTTGACTAATTTTAGAATGTGAATTTCTCGCTCAACCAGGAGTACTCTAGAAGCTCCTGCCTACAAAAATATCTATTTTTTACAATTGCACTTGAATTTAAAATCCCAATGAACCAGTAAAATAATAGAATTGAGTAAATTCATTCATTCATCATTTTCAATTTGAGGATTAACACATGATTCTTACTTGTCGTTTATTAATCAGCTTAATGGCCCAGTAAATTTTAGTTGTTCTATGCTTCGCCTTAACTACAGTTCCAAAATTTCCTCTCCCTATAACTTCTCCAATAAAATAAATCTTCTGTAAATCCTCAACGTCAGAAATCCGTTTATGCACTAGCGGTCGCTCTTTTAATTTCGGAGAACTGTTTGAAAAATTGGAGGCGTTGAGCATCGATTTGTACATGAATTATCATCAATCAATTATTGATTGAGAATAATGAAATTGCATTTGGACGGCCCTTCAAGATCTGACGTCTGACATTAACTAGCATTTGTCACAGTTCATTTGAAAAACTAAAAACTCCCTGAAGTCCTAAAAATGCGGTTAAATTCCTCCTCGCCTGACTTAAATTTCTATCTCTTGTCAATTAATTGAAATTAATTCAAAGAGCTCAATGTACAAAGAAAAATTACAATCATCCGATTTATTGGTTCGACTCCAATAATTTAATCTCATCCAAGACTTCTTTTTTCCTCGCAACTTTATCCACCATCTCTTTCTCCGGATTTTTAATTTCTCCACTTTTAATTTTCCCCTCGAGACTCTCAATTTCCCGCAATTTTTTCCTCAAATTTTTCAGCCTCTTCATACTATCACTGAGTAATGAGGCACCGTCTTGCCTTGCTGGTGGTGTGGCTGGAGATTTTCCAGATTTTGGATTTTGTTTACTGGTTTTACTGGGCTCAGCTGTACTGGACTCGTCAGTCAAAGATGCTTTACCTAATTCCTCAGCCAGTGCATTCGTATTTTTGCTCTTGCTCTTCTTTTTCTTCTTCTTTGGCTCGTTAACAACAACCATTCCAGGAATCAGGGATTTTCCCTGCTGTTGTGCCTCGACTTTTGCCTTGTGGGCTGCCACGTACTCTGGGGACATCCCCACAGGATAATTTATTTTATTCTTCGAAAATTGTTTACCCAGGCTCTCATACCTGAAACAGTTATTTAAATAATCGAAAATCCACGTGATGCATTGGAGAATTAATTACATACAGAGGGACCTCTTCCTGAGGAACGTATCCATCCTTCACTCTTCTCGGTTTCCTCCAGGAGCCATCAGGACGTTGGCTAGCTGGTATAAATGTTCCTCCTAAATATTATATTTTTTTATTAACATTTTCGATTTTTTCTCCTTCAATTTAATTGCTATGCAACCGGTGCTGAACGTTTTTATGTTTGATTGTCTGAATTGTTTACATTGTTGAGGTTATAAATACTCCGATAACAATTGACAATTACAAGTGCAGGATTTCCTGATAATTTTGCCATACCTTCGTCATCCTTGACGTAAGACGTCGCCATTTTCCAGAGGTTCTGGATGATGGGGGTGTAATTTAATTGATATTTTCAAGATCAAAAGGCACTTGAGGAGTCGCTGGTCATAATTCCTTTTTCCGAGGTTTAGGTTTTATTTTCCTTCGAGGGACAAAACAGGAATCTTCTCGAAACCTCGGGGGATAATTACTGACTGTCGGGGTCATACCTCCAGCAATCCCCGGGAATTACTGATAACACTCTCGTACACCGATAATATAAATATTCCCCTCTCGAGAGATTGTTAACAATTTCCAGGAAAATTGGAAATTTTTTTGCAATATTCACCATCCGATGAATTTTTTTTTCCAATTTCCAATGAATGCGATTTTCATTTCTGAAAATTCGATTATATATAATTATATAATTTTATAATTCCCGTCTATTTTACGCGCCTTCAGGACCTGAATTTCGAAAAGGATGTTCATCCACCGTTGACAATTTTTCACACAATTTCTCATGATTAATTACGGAAAATTTCCTCTGGTCGTTATTCCCCGAAAATTTGCGCTGGATGGACGAAAAAAAATTTCAACCACGAGATATTTGCGATTGAAGATTGTTAAATAATTGTAAAAAAGGAATTCATTGAGATAAAATCACTTGAATGATTTCTAATGTGTCGGCACCGAGTATTCGGTGTCACGGGGTGCGGCCATAAACCGGAAGTTACCCGACAACAATCGAAATCGGATGTGATTGTGAGCGGTAACCGTGGATGCATTGTTACACAATGAACAGATTAATTTTAGACATCCACCTTGTGCTAAAATAATAATACCCAGTGGACAATAAATGTACAGTCCAGAAACACGTTGAAAATTACTCCAGTTATGCTCAACGAAATTCAACTGATTCAGTATGCATTGTGTTTCTGTCACCGCGAGATACTATTCCACCTCAGAATACACGAGTTCAACTAATCCGTAATTGTTTGTTGCAAGTGCAAATCACTAATGAAGTAATTCCCTGTGTATTTTATCTGTGGGTGAGAATCCGTTGTTTATCAGTGAATACATTTGTCATCAATTCATATTTCTATACGGTAATCAATTCTCGATTATTCTGCGCACACATTCTCTGGATAACTGTGTGGAGAACACGGCAAAAAGCAGTCGATGTGAATTATATCACCCACTGATCATTTGAATAATTGATTTTTTGATACGGGAGATGATACCCATCGAATTTTCCAGCTGGTGGCCTCTTTTTTTTTATTCTTTCATTGTTTATGAAATATTCGAGTTTGAAATCACCAGTTTATAAAGAATTCCAAAATGTTATTACCAAAATGAGACTCTCTGCACTCCCGTATTTTCCGGGTAAAATCAAAGGGAGACAATAGAAAAAAAAATTATTGCAAAAAGGAAAACAATAGCGGATAAACCGGGACGGATTGATTCTCGTGTAAAAATCCTCAGACAAAACACAATGGCTCCAGTGTTTTTCCCGTCGGATATACAGGAGAAGTATCCGTCCTGACGGAAACGTATTCACGGAATTTTCTGAGGATGTGGCTCCTCGGCATTCCCCAGGAATTCCGGGATTCGTCGGCAATTTTCGTTGGATAGCAAAACATTTGGTTTTCCACACTAGGTACTTTCTGATTAAATTTAGGTGGGGCATTAAGTCCTGAAGATTGATTTACCCTCGAAAAGCTTGAGAATACCAAAGCGCATATCAACGTAAAAAGATCGAGACTGGTAATAATTTATGTCCTTTAGATACGGAACAATGGGAAGCTCTGAAAAAGTTGAAAAAAAAAAGAACGGGGGAGAAAAAAAAAGAATAGAGAAACATGCTGAAGGTAAGCACTGAGGGATAGTCGCTTCGGGGGTGGGTGAATTTACCGGAAGGCATTTGGTACGGAAAATATGGTAGATAAACTCACAGCAGTTTATCCCTGGACAGAACCGAAAGTTATCCTATCTTTTCTCGGCATTTTCAATCGCATTTGCTGTCTCAATTTTGCGTTACGAATTTATCAGTCGCTCCACAAAAATTTCGGTATCAAACATGTCGTATTATTGGTTGATGCAATTCACTGCGATCCACTGCCATTCGCTGTAATTTTTTTTTTCAATTTTCCTCGAATTACAATTGCTTGGGAATTGTTCAATTATGATGTGATTAACGATATGATAAATTGGGGCACTGGTAATGGGATAATCAGAGAATCTTCACCGGATGGTCTGGTAATGCGAAGAGCTGGTGGTAGAAATGGCAGAAAAAAATGTATCATTAGGAGACCAAAGCGTCCTGGGATTACCGGGTGCTTCATGCAATCTATGTGTCTGTAGAACTCTGATCTCCATGGGACTCACCCCCTGGAAAAACCCTGAAAAACTCCTGAAAAACTACCCCCGAATGTGGGATTACGTCGCGAGTTATTTCATTGATTTTTTTTATATCCTATTTACGCTAATGAGTGACAATAAATTTTTGACACTGTGTGTTCAAATGTCGTGTCAATTATGTCCTGATAAATGATCACAAATTTAATCTGTGTAACGTGTGATTTATCTGTGAAATCGGTTATATAAATCTACAGGTTGTCGATGCGAAAATGTATCGGCGATCTGGACAAAAAAATTTCGATTATTCCGTTACAAAGTGAAGATTCAACCGAGGGATTTAATCAATCCGTTCCTATTTTCTCTCTTTGGGTGAGATTTAATTGAAAAATGGATTCATTTAGTTGGAATGTTTTTTAATCAATTAGTTGGGTATTGAGACTCGTTAGAGCACCGATGGATTTGGGATAGAGCCAAAAAAAAATTAAGGGAATTCATGGCCGTGTCATTTTTAGTTGCTAACGATTTTCCATGTATTTGTTGGTGATAAACGTTTATTTAGAACAGTGAGGGATATTTGAATAAAAATGAACCATTCTCACGTGAAAATCCACGGTAAAAACATTCAATGGTATGTCTCTATTATTTTTCATTCTTCAATTATTGAGGGGAATGTTTGGAGTGGGATTTAACGCATCGGAGATTTTAATGTTACACAATAGTTCAATTGAGATTGATGTGACGAGAAATTTTTGCTTCATGGCATTTGTTAATGGAATTTTACAATTGGAAAATACGGGTTATGATTTTTTCGATGCATTCAATGAACCATCGACGAGCCAAATATTTTCTCTTTTCAGATATCATATTGCTGCTGGAAACTGCAGTGCAGCATGGGCTGCACGGCTAGTGCTGCACCTTGTAAAACTGGTGGGGCAAGATTAATGACAACAAAAATTCATTTTAGTAAGGAACAATTGGAGGGATTAAACGGATTCTTCCGGAGGTCCGTTGAACGTCAAGGGGTCACGTCAGGTGATTTTCCCTTCAATCTGTCATTTTTCCTCTGGACTTTTACCAAATAAACAATCAATTTAATTATATTTACGATCACAAGTGGCTTTATGAGTTGTTTCACGGCTTTCATTTGAAGTTTCACCACCGCATGCCCTTAATGGTCGTTTTGCACATGAACTTCACAAAAAAATACATCCACCTTCACGATTCAAATAGTCAATAGACTCGGTACAATAATCCCGGACTCATTCTACGCTATATCGACCCACATACGATTGCCAGTTGAATCATAAAAATTCTCTCTCCACAACCCATCCCGCAGACGACAGGGAAAATAAAAAAAAAAAAAATCACCACAGGTGCTGGCAATTCTCCCTCACCATAAAAATCCTGCAACCCAAATAATCGTAAAACATCTTTTTACTTCTGTTTTTAGATATCGACGAGATTGAATCAACAATTGAGAGATTGGTGCAGCGACTGATCGCTGGAGTGAGCAATCTGGATGGCAGATTTTCCTCCATGTTTCTCGTTTCTCTGAATGAGCGTCGACGGATAAAAGTAACTATCAATCGTTTCGTCTAGACGCTCTCTTATCACTGAAAATACCAAGACTGAAATTTTACTCCAAATCGAGATTTATGTCTGGATAATCGAGTGATTTGATGTGTTAATGTGCGAATAGATGAATTAATTTACAAAATTAATACTGATTAATAATTGATGGGATTCACGAGAGTTGTAAATTCTTCAGGAACTGAAGTTCGAGTACTTGTTACGTATTGATACCCTCTCGACTCCACCACTGGATCCAGATATGGCGTCAGCTGTATACCTCGAAGAAGATTCAACGCTTCCAGGATTCGCTCGACTTGGCTTACGTGGTGGTGATATCGAGCATTGGGCTGAGTTTCTTGGACCTGATGGCAGATTGAGGCGGGATCTGGTGAAAGCCAAACTCCTGAATCTCTTAGCAGCTGCTACACAACAAGGTATAATAAGTTTTGAGTTGAAGATTAAAGCAATACGTGGTGGACCTCTCCAAGGGATTCACTGTGAGGATTACAATGAAAAATCGATAGATATTGAAAGATGAATATTTTTCTTTGCATCTGGTTAAAATTACCCTTTCTACCAGAACATTACGGCAATTGATTTATCTGAACTGTCATTAATTTAATTGAGATTCAATGGACGGAGCGGATGAACGGATTTGTCAGTGTCCTGGACAGGTAATCGATGCTGAAACTTTGGATAAAATCCTGAAACAGCCGGATCACTGCAGGATTTTCTACGGATCAGGTAATGATTCATTGTTACACGTAATGAAATAACACGGAAAATGAGCTGCGGGTTTTATACTCTAGTTGTCCATAAATACACCATCTCCAGCAGTTTTTTTTTTAACGTCTTGTATTTCATTATTTTCCCCTTTTTCCAGTCTCTATGGTAATACATCATATTAAGCGATCGTCGTAGAAAATGCTAAGTCACCTAAGTAATTCAATATACTCGGTGTCCTATAAATTAGAATGTACGGTCGAGTGGAGTTCCTTAATTATAACTGGCGGAGATTTAAAATTACGACGCAAACGAGACCGTGAGGATGGGGGTGAGCCGTGGCGAGAAAGAAAGGAGTGAAAAATATACAGTGTCTACGCGTTTTCCCAGTTAAAGAGTGGAATAAAAAAAGTTGAAAAACATTCTTGGAACTCTGAACACCCCTGAGTAAATCAAAAGAATAGTCTCCATAAAGAGTAGAGAGGGAATATTTAATATTCTTGATTTTATTCTTTGTGCAATTGCGATGTTCTCATCACGATTCTCACGGAATATTCTGATAATAATTCTGATAATAAATCATTCGTCTCATCTCCCCGCATTGAGGTACATTTTTACCTCCCGACAGGTAGCTAGTGAAATAAAATTCCATTTTTTTCAACCCCCAACCCAAAATTCATGTAAAAATTATTTTGATATGTAACACAATTTTTTTTTAAGCCAAAAAATTCCCAGAGAATGAGTCGAAGGTTTGAAGAAAAAAAGTCGTTGCAATTTCAGTTTAAATAGTTATTTATATACCAAATTTCCGGACTAGTATCTCACAATCCGGACGCAATACCCATTCACCCTTTTTAAATTGAAATATCTTTTTGACTGGCTGGTGCGCGCCTTTCTCATGGTAATTTTCACTGGGTTGTACCAGCAACCCCAGAAAAAGCACCAGAACCTCGTGATCATCGTGTTGCTCTGGTGGAGGACTCGAGTGGAATACTCCTGCGTATTGGCTTGAGGGGTCATAAAATCAGTGAAGTAGAAGTCAGGCTTTTGATCGGCATCGGTGTTTCAACGTGGTCAATACATGCCGATTATCCACGCAGAGTACCATTACACCATTGCGACGCACTTCTCCACTATAATGCAGCACAAAGCGTAAGTATACAGCTATTCAATGTCTGTTGTGTTTGTACGTGCGTGTGTGTTCGTATGCTCTAACAACAGTCGAGTTGTTTCCAAGTAAACAATTTCCAAGTGGGAGAGCGAATGGACTGGTAGAACATGGGGAATTTGGATTATTTAATTAGTCCGTCAGCATGGCACAGTTAATCAGCCCACTGGCTGCTCGACCTCCATTACATTTCGATGTGCTACTCTCAGGACTTGAGTCCCTCTTACCCTGAGTATTAATATTCCTATTAAACCTCCCCCCGATATTCCGCAAAAGCTGAAAATTCTTGGATCGAGCCATTTTTTTATTTCACCCCTACCTCAGGGAGTGATTTATTATTTTTGGGGGATGAAGTCACTGTCTCTTTGACTCTTATTTTTTTAATAAATAAATAACGGAGGTTTACAGGAAAATGTGGAAAGAATCTGCGGAGCGGATCTAATTAAACAATTCCCCAAATTTCCAAGGGGTAAAAAAGTTTGAATGAAATACCTCAGCTAGTTCACCATCGACATCTAACTTTCTTGAAGACTTTCCACAAACAAGTAGAAACCTCCCCCTCGAAAAACAGATATTGACGTTAAAGTCTCCATAAACCTGTCGTTACGTGAGTGCCTGGTAACCACGCAATGTTTTTATTCCTCACTCCTTTGAACTTCATTTCTTCCTCTTACTTCGCAGCTCTCAGCAAAAGGTGAGAATGGATTCGAGGAGTAAATAGAGTAAAAGAAAAAAATGAGAAGAAGTCACCACCGCGCAAAAAGGCCCACGCAAAGGGTGTGAGGGTCGATTTTTATTCCGCGGAATTTCCCCCAACCCCCTCCCACCCCTCATCGTAATCTTATTACGCTGTGCAGCATTATGCCAACAGCATCGTCGCATTATCCGAAATGTCACGATTATCTGGAAATGATCTTCAGATATCTTTGGATCCCTTCCATCGGAATTTCTCGTCATTTTTTTTTTTGCGATTCAGGGTATGTATGCTGTCGCAGTGGGACCGTATCCCGGAGCTAGATGCGAGGATAGATCGACACTCTGGCGTATACGTGTGCCAGCTACTGAGACCATCATGAATCAGCATTACTCTGAAGAGAGTGTACCAGCACTGACGGAATCCATGCTAATGTACATCCTGGATCAGCTGAGAGGTAGAGCACCTCTCAACATCCCCATGAAGTTAAAAGTAAATATTCCCAATGAAATACTCAAATAAAAAGAATAAATATTTTTATCGAGAGATGATCACCGGAATTCTGTGTAATTGAAAAATATAAAAAATATAAAATGACAGCCCCTTGTCCCTCAGGAAAAGGGGGAGAATTAAAAAGGGAGAGGAAGGGAAAAAATCTTGTTCTCTTTGAGTAATGGTTATTCTTGTCCTCGAGATATTAGTACTCTTTGATATTGTGGGTATTTTTCCAGCTTTTTTTTACTCCTCTGTTGTATTTTTTTTTTTTTTGGAATACATACAAGCCATCGGTCTCCTTTGACGTTAACATTGTTTCCTTTTTCTCGTGCCTTGCTCTTTTTTTTTGCCCCATGTCATGTCTTGTTTTTCACTCGCGAAAAGGGTCGATTCATTTCCTCGAGGCTTCAAGGGATATTTAATACAGCTGGATATCAAAATTGTGGGTGGAAGAGTGAATTAAGAGGTTTCGAACGGATGGAGAGGAAAAGAAATTCACTTCGTTTTTCCGAATGACTTGTCTCAGCCATTCGCTGGATAAATAATAGCTAGTCATTCCCGGGAAAATGAAGGTTCACAAATAAGATTAAAATTCAAATTTCTATTCCTTCTTGCACGCATTTTCATATTCATGAGCTCTTGTTCAATTATCTCTGTTCCTTATCCACTCGGAATTCTTTTATTTACTCAAATCGTTTTTTTTTTGTCTCTCGGTATCTATCCCTGGGGTGGGATAAGCATTACATAGAAAACTTTGGCATGTACAACAGGAATCCATGTGCGTAATGAGAAAAGTTGAAATCGATTTTGGATTCCTCACTCTCAAGACACAAAGCAAGTGTAAAAAGTTATTTCATTTATTGGATGGCGAATAAACAATGATTCCTCGTAGGGTTTTCACCTAGTGCAGTTGTTATTCAGGAGAGATCCACTTATGAATGTTGAATGGAGAGGTAACACCTCGTCTCTGGAGAAATGTGAGAAACTTGTAGATTGAATTTATTCTGGATTGTTTTTTTTTTTGGACAGCTCAGCTACTCATTCTCGAGCATGAATAATTGATTCGAAAATCGAAGGATTGGCGCAACGATTTCTTTGCAATCTCTTCCCTTCGACGAATCGCAGAGAAGTCCGAGAAAATATAAAATAATTCTACAAAATATTTTCGCTCTTCGCCTCCGAATTTATTATGGCATATTGATTTTTTTTTATTAATTTTTCAAAATTCATGATAATTCGTAATTGATTGCAGACTCATTAGCGGGAATAATTGTAGTATTTGTAATGAACCCATTAGCCGATTGTATATTTTTTCAGAGAACTCTGAAGGTTGTGACACGTCACGTGATAAAGACAATTCATTGGTGGTCGCTGGAGCGAGCTGGACCAGATCCATTGGCCTCATGGTCACCAGATACCCTGGCACGTCATGTACTCCTAGTGCTCGACGAATTGGTCATGGCACTCAGATGTCAAAGTCTGCGTTGCTACTTTCATCCACGTTGCAATGTTATGCTCCAGTGCGCAAAAGGTAACAGACACATTTCATATGAAAACGCCGGTGAAATGTTCGAGAAATTTTTATAATATTGCCTTTATCACAGAAAATATATATATGAACTTCTTTCCATGGGTGGATATTTTTTTTTTCCGCCTGGGAATTGCTGAGAGGAAGGGTAACGGGTTGTATCCAACGGTGTGGAGGCAATATTGGTGGGGCAATATCGCAACTGGCGTTGGGTAGCTTATGAAATGTCGTACTCTCAGTGGAAAGAGAAGAACAAAAAGAATAAAAGGAATTATTTCAATAAGTAGACGAGTTTATCTTTCCTCTTTTCCGTATTCTTCATGGGTTTCAACTGAAATAATTTAATATTTACCCAATGTGGTTTGGGATTGATGCAATTGAGGGATTGATGGATCAAGAATGAATAGTTAAAAATATATTGTCAGCTGGGTTTTATTGTTTCCGAAATTTCTGAGCAAATGGATGGAGCAAAGATCCGAGGAGTTGAGTATTTATCTTTAGTGGTCCGTTCGTGACCAAAATTCAGGAGAACTATTCACAAAGAAGACCGCAAGGGCCACCGGTATTTTCTGTGGTTCTTTGGAATGTCCTCTATAGATTATCCACTCGATCTTTGAATTGAGGGATATCTGGAGTTTTCGTGCGGATCAATTCCAAAGAATTTCAAATATTTTCGAAGAATTATGAGGAATTGATTTCCATCCGTTTTCATCTGCACTGTTCCCTGGGGTGCGGTAATTACGAGTAAAAGTTAATTTATCTGATGATCGAAGTTGGAATTTGTTAGAAATTCCCGGTGATGCAGACAGACGCGGATAAATGCTGGGTGACGTCTCTCGGATAGTCGACTGATTACGAAAGCGTATTTTATCGTGTCGTGAGTTTAGAGCTAATCTGGAGTCTCGTGGGGTATATGGTAATACATATAGCCTCGGAAATTATCGTCACCGTGTGACAAAGTTCGCCCTTTGATAATATTGCAGGTAGATCTCACGGGGAGGAATCCTAAGGGAATGAATTTTCCATCCCCTGCACTTGCAATGCCCATGATTTCATACAAAAGCCATTTTATTTCGTCGGAATACTTGTCCCGGAAATTTCCAACAACAGTTTTCTGTCTTCGCAGGTGTTATTCCATTTTACATCTTGCGGCTCAATGCCTCGCGCTGCGCCTGTACTAATTAGTAATTACGGGAGATTTAATTAATGTAGTCATCAGTGAAATTAATTTCATTGAACGGTGAAGGTGTTCTAGAGAGTGGGCGATACGAACTATTTTTTTTTATAACATTTACGGATGAGTCAATGTAATTGGGAATTTTTTTATTTCATCGATTTTTAATTAGTCGCTGTTTCGTATTTTTTGAATAGAATATTTTTGAGCGGCAATAATTTTTTTAGGATGGAACTTTGAAATGTCAGGCCTGCTTAAGCTTTCTTCAATGTTTGTGATGCATAAAAGGGAAAAAAATGTCTTGAATTCGAAAGTCACTCACTATTATATATACGAACTGAACTTCCAGATGCATTACACACTTTAACAGTGAAGAAAGAGATTCCAGGTGGTATTTGCATTGAATTCCCACGAAGAAAGAAATCTCTGCATAATGTTTCAATGAATGGAAATCTTTTTCCTTCCACTGGTTCGTGGTGCAGCCTGATAAGATGGCCTCGTTGGTGATTCTGTGTGGATGTATTAGTGGTGTCCCAGATGTATTCATACATTGACTAATGTTCATGATGCGAGAGTCTGAAAAAAACGAGAAATTCAAAATTAAACGAAATGCTGAAGTTTAAACGAAATAAGAGTCTAGTATAATTTTCGCTCCACGCCTTGTGCAAGTGTTCATAATAAATTCAGTGGTACGTTCATTTGAATTTAACAAGAAATTTATCGAGATCATACACTTGATGATCGCTGATTTATTGTCATACCGAATCCTTCGGTAATAAATCGATAATTACACGTCCAAATAAATCCCAGGAGCCATAAAAATTCTCGTTTCTAACGCGTTTGAATTTCAAGTCATGTGTACATTACATTTCATTCATAACTCAAGCCAAATCCTCTCATTGTTTAATCCTAAAAATTCATGGTTCACTTTACTCAACATTTATTACCACAAAGTCGATTTCACCGGAGTATCTCTGACTTATCGATGGAAGAGATTCGATTGCAAGCATTTACGACTAGTCCTGAGTCCTTTTTATTTTCCCCTTTTCTCTGACTCCATCTTCACTGTTCTCCAGTGATTTATCCATGGGATAGAAAAATTTGATAAATTTTAGATGGACTCCTCCATCCGGACGAGTGGTACGTGTCGGATGCTCGGTTGCTGGAAGCCTACATCCTGGCATTGCACCAGTACTCCTTGAACTTGACCCCATCTGAACCGCGACCCAGTGATGTACTTGAGAACGAGTTGATAGCGCGATGGCGACGGGTGATGGCATCATTACCCAGAGGCACCATGGAGAGACCCAGTGGTTACAATCCAAGGCAGTTGGCATACTTGGGACTTGTTCTCCGAGAAGTTCTTAGACTGAGAAAACTTTCAGTCCACGTAAGTGCCCATTACCCCCCAGCAGTGAACAACGATAAATTCATAAATAAACAAACGCGTACAAATGTTTAACTTCATCTGCTGAGCAAAAGGTCTTCCTCCAATTCTTCAATTTTCAGAATAATCTCAATCACTGCAATTACTTCAATTACATTCCTCAACACGATATCCAATCAGACTCAACGGAGAACTTGATATACTTATTGATCCTAGTGTTGAAACAAGCACGTGATCAAATTTACGCGATAACCGATCGCAAGAAGCGTAAAAATTATGGGGGACGAAGACACAACGAGAGCAGTAGTCCGAGTAATTTTGAACACTCCATGGATATTCTCATCGACATAGTCCGGAGAGACCGAGATACAGCTTACATGGACCTCGATAGCGACGTCGTCCTGGCTCGAGTACTCCTGAGATGGTTGTACTTCGGTAAATGAAATGTTGTCTTAATTGATAAATCCTTCGATATAGTCCAGTGTAATCCACAGTTGTGCCTTTTGTCTCGACCAAAACATAGGTATGGAGCACGAGAGAAAGACACTGGGTCCAATTCTCCGACCATACCTAGGCAATCTATTCAATTCGTCTCATGAGAATGCTTGGCACGTTGAGTCTTGGCGAAAACGTCGTGATATATTCAGCAGTGAGATGCGTTCACTTGGCATCTTCTGCAAGCTCGTTACATCCCAAGAGGTATCACCTGCCAACGGCATTGTTGAGTCACTCTCAAAGGGTTGGTACTGGGCTGAGAGAACAACTAAAATGATTGAACGATCTGAGGACGGCCTCAAGCTTGTCTTCATGCCGACTGCTAAAATTCTCAAATACAGTCTCACTTTTGCTAATAATCAGGGCTTGAGTGCCTATTCTAGTTGGAGTAAAGCGAGAAGTGTGGGAAATGCTGCGAGACGTACGGCCATGGCGAGGATTAATATGATGACCAGTGGAGAACGATTTGGCGAGTTGACGGATGTCAATGATGAGAAAATTGAAGGTAATTGGTAAATCGAGACCGGTCTTTGCAATTAATTATTTTTAATAATGAATAAAATGGAAAATTCAAAATTATTTTAATCCCAGCGCTCACCAGTCTGTGGAATAGTCTTTTGACCTCTTCCTCAAAGGGCTGAGGCATTCCTCCCCCTATCGTATTTCGGTTTTGTACTTTCAAGACTCTGTCGCGTGCAATTCACACCCTCCGGCTGCTTGGTAATTGGAGAATCTTCCGGGCTCTTTGGATTCGGCCTCTTAACCAAAGTTAGAAGCTGAAACGATAAACTCCGCTGGAAGTTTCGGTGGAATTAATTAAAATCGGGTCACAGCGACTTCGGCACAGTTTGCTGTCACCAAAGAATGGTTTTATTTTTGTTGAAACAATAATAAAGGGGTGGGCCGTTTGTTTCAGGTTTTGCTCGTCATATAAAATTGAGGGATTCGAGTCCATTGACGCATGTGGTATCAATGCATCGGAGAAGAGGCAGACAACGAGGTCCTGGGGGTCTTGTTCCTGCACTCGTGTCCCTCAACAAATTCCGAGTGAGTTGATAATTTGTGATAATTCGGGTTTCGTGTTATTTCAGAGGTGAATTTCAACGTCTATTTTATAATATTATATCTAAATTACCATAACTTTGAACTTATTCGTGATGAACTCTCGAGGAGTAGTTAAACATCGGTGGTTCAACCGCATTTATAACAACTTGAAGCTTGACACAAAGTAAAGAGCTTGTGGAAATGAGTGGGAGGAGGGGGAGGAGTGGGGGTAGAGGGAGGAGGGGTTAAAATTGAGGAGGGGGTAGGGAGTAGGGGATGAAGAGGGTGGAGAGGGAAGAGAAGGAGAAGGGGAGGGAGGGTCTGAGTGCATACGTGAGGACTAGTGTTCGCAGTTGTTTGCTAGCTAGCAAGGTCTAGCAAGGTCTAATTAAACTCATACTCTGGAGATGATTTTGCAGCATTAGAGCATTTTCAGTGGAAATTTATTGACCTGGCGCCCATTGGATTACCCTGGAAGTTGATAGAGCTATCTGCGATGATGAGTAATTATTGATGGTTTCAAATGCATGCACGGAATTATGATTAGAAATTTTCCGCTGAGAAATCAGTTACTGGGAATTTCATATTGGTAATTTAATTCGAGAAACTTCAATATTTTGTAATGATCGAACGGGTCTGACTATATTTAAGACCTCGCTACTTCCTCATCGTTCAATTACGTTGAAACACTAGTTTCTTCAACGTTTTGAAAACATTTTCCTCGGTGAAACTTTTTCATTAGACTTCAGGGCTTGGCAAAAAATCGGATCTTACTTCAATGAAAATTTTCAATGCGCAGATAATTTTTTTTTTTTCGCAAGAAAAATTGATCCCGTTGGCGTACCACGGGGGGTGTTCTTTCTCTTTTTGGATTTTCTGTGGGGAAGTTTTTTAATGAGTTGAGGCCAGATTTAATCCGCTATTCATGAAGTTCATGGAGAGTAGAGAATCAGGGGGGTTTAATGATTGAATTAATTGCAGAACGGATGAAATTGAAGCTCTTGCGATTTTGATAATTTTTTGAGGATTATAAGACAGTTGGAGAGAGCAGTTGGAAATACGAATGAAATAATGTCAGGCTGTATTTTAGAAAGGGGTTGGTACAACTTTCCTCGTTTGTGGAATTACCAGTGCGAAGGAACGAGGTACTTAGGCAACATGCTAAACCAAACTACCCAGTAATCTATATGAGGAGTTGAGTTTATTGGCGTCGAGGCAACTTTTGCCGAGTGGCAAAATTCAATTCTCCTCTGGGGTCAGATAAAAAAATTATCATTGTTTAAAGTTAACAGCAAGGATAAAAGATCGAATTGAGTCCAATTAAATTTTTTATCATGAAGATTAAATTCGTGGGTAAATCGATGCCCCAGTGATATTGAAGCCTCTGAAGTTCCAAGTTGACTCTAATGATCTCAGTTTCATCTGGGTTATGGCATCTGATATTGTTAGTACCATACCAAAGTTTTCCTCGGCTTTCCAATAAAGTAACTTGTATGATAAATAAAGGAATTAAATTGGCGGGGGATGGGTTGTGAGAAAAATGAAAATTGACGTAGTTTATAGGACGTTATTGCAGTAAACTAAAATTCAATGGCCATTGTTGATTTTTTGTTTGGTTCATTCCTCTTGTTTGTCGACAATAAAAATAAAATATTGTACAATCGGATAAACTCGAAAGAAGTCGAGTGTAGGTGAGGCACGGGGACAGGGGGTTGGTTAGTTGAGAAGTAGAAAAGCTGGAACATTTTAACGGGTCCTGGAGTTTTCTCGTTTTCTCGTTCTCTCGCTTATACCTTGTGTATCGTTTATGTGTGTCCCATACCCACGTGAATTTTTTTTTTCTCTCGCTCTTTACACACGATACCTTACAACTTTTCAATGTATTCGTAAAGACTGAAAGAGTAGCGGCGGACAGGTTGTGGTGTTATAGCGAAAAATATGAGTTTTGAAGACATCATAAATGACGGGCTTCGCTTTTTATTCTGCGTGTATGTTTGTGCGATAAAAACTGGGGTATGGTGGACTTGGGGAGGGGTGGAAAAATATCATCGTGTTACTGGGGGTTTGATATATTAGTGGAAAAAAGGGGAGGCTTGATCCTCTTATGATACGATATTTGAGATCCCCTTTTGGTTACGGGTAACGCTAGTACTCAACATCGATATCTGTTGACAGATTCTGATACACGATATTGACGTATCATTAGAATAGAAAATGAAAAACAGAATCGGAAAATGGGATACAGTAGACGTGGGGGGAATCCGGGGAAGTCCACTGTATGAAATTCAATTTTAAACTAAATTTTTTCATTGAAAATTCGCGTGCGAGAGGAAAAATAAAACCTAACAATTCAATCCACTCTAGATTTTTTTTTTCGAATTTCCCACAAGAATTCAACGGAAAATAAAATAATTCCCGGGTTTATTTAACCCGGAAAATTTCAGACGAAATGAATTCCGGGGAACGAAATTATTATTCCACCTGCCTCTGAAAATTTGTTAGCATTTTTATTGAGAGCTTTTCGAAGGCAAGAGCGATAATTTTTCTCCTCTCGAAGAATCGTTTATCAAATGCGATTTACTTGTCAGTTGCTAGATAATTCCACTTGTTCTCTCGCGGTGGTTTATTTTTCGGGTGTGAGAGAGACCGTTGAAGTGTAAGAAGCGGATTGTAAAAAATTTGTGGAGATCGCGGAGAGGGAATTTTTGCTTGAGAGAAATATAATGTATGATGTGAGACTATGAGAGGCCGAAGAAATACGATGATATGCAAATCCGAGGTAAGAAAGTGAGGAGTTGCTTATTTAAGGATTCGGCGTGTGCAAGCTGCACGATAAAGTCCTCGAGGATCTCACAGGGTCACTGAACAATGGGAAACCCTTTCCCCAGGTTTTTCCTCGGTGGAAAACGAGCTCGGCTGAAACTCGAGAATCACAATTAAATTCAGCGCAAGCGGTAGTTTAGAGTTTAGACACTCAACGTGCTTGGCATTCATGGACAGTGAAGTATAATGCAGAGGTGGTGAGAAGAGCATCTTCATGGGGATGATGACGCAGGTGCGAGGTGCTGAGCCGAGAGCAAGTGGAAATCGGACTCGCGAGACCGTGAAGAGACAAATAAATAAAAGAGCGAGAATATGAGGGAGTGCTGTTTATACCAAGTGAAATTCATCCTGCGCAATTGTCATATCAACCTCCAGAGGAAATTAAGAAATTTTTTTTTAACATTTATATTTTTATTTCACATCTAATTACATTTTATTTTCATCAGGGGAATCAGCGAATTATAATTACAATTCAATTTTTCAGGTAGAAACAGAATTTAATAAATAATTATTTAAATAATTTTTCCCGATTTTTTATGAAAATTCTCGGTATTCTCTGGAGAATTCACTGCTGTTAAAAATTATGATGCAGAGCAATAGAGTTTTCATGAGCTCACCAGCGCGTATTGGAGTATTATGTCATTCCTGCCCACTCATGCACTCACATACACACTGGGTCATACGTACTCGGTCCCAGGAGTACCATTGGCCCTCCACGTGACTGGTTAAACGGTAGTGCTTTCTGATGTGCGACTCTCGGTGGAATAATCAAACCGACTTGCCTCCCTCTGGCATTAAGGAATAAACCACCCCATCCACCACCCACTCACCCAATATTCTCATTTTATTTCAAACTCGTGACTAACTGTTAGTGCAGTCTACCATGTCTCTTGCATTCACTAGTGTGTGCACTAGCGTTTTCGCAATGCATCTGGGATTTCTTTTGGCGGGCTCCACTATTTCGGCCAATTTCCAGGCACAGGCTTTCGAAAGCAACGGTTAATGTCCTTTGGGATGAGCTCGGCTTCGATCTTTCTGCCGGAAAATTCCAGGTTCTGGAACAAATGTTATTTTGGTTGTTCGGGGTGGTGAATCTCTGGAGAGAGTGCAATAAAATTAAATTATGTCAATCGATATTGCAATTCTGTTAATCGAAATTTTGGAATACTCTTGAATTATTTTGCATTTTGATAAATTCTTATTGCACACGTCCGACTATTTTTTTTTCTCCAACAGGTGAATTATCAGCGAGACATCACACGCACACGGGAATTTCTCGTGTATTGAATTCCAATGATCCGCTGGAACTCGGGGGCGTACATTTCGGGGATTCAATTTAAATAAATTTATTCAATAATTGCAAATACTGTAGTTTACATCGTATATCTGGTAGAAGCGTATCGAAAACAATAAAAGTAATTAGCAAATTTGTACTTATTATTGTAGTCATTTCAATTCGATAACGGTTTAATTATTTGCATCATTAATTTTTTACTCTAAATCGATATGTTCTGCTGGACTCATGTTTAACTCACTTATATGAAGAGAAATTGCGCGTGGGAATATGAAAAGCATCAAATTAATGAATTAGATCTGTACAAATTGAAACCAGTATTTATTTTTCACCTTTCGGCACAAACCTGCGATTATTTTTCACATGCTGCACGAATCCTCTCTGGATTATACGTTCTCAATGTAATAAATGACATTCATTGCAGGTGTAGCTATAACCCGTTTATCAACTCGGAGTACTCCAGTTCAACTCGACTGCATCCGTTTTGTTAAAATTGGAAATTATTAACTGTTCAGCACGAAGTACTCACTACTAACGATTCTGGAGACTGCAATATTCATCAAGCTTTACCATTAAAAAACATTAAAAACTAGAAATAATATTGAGGGATTCGATCTGGATGCCCGGGGAAAAAAAAAATTGTAATCGGAATATTTTTTCCAAAATTTCAAAACATTTCAGAAAATTTTTCTTTTCAAACAAAAAAAAAATCAGGAAACAAAACAATTTTATTTTTGGGAAATGTTTTGAAAAATTTTAAAAATTTCAAAATAAAATTGTTTTGCTTTCCGATTTTTTTTTTGTTTGAAAAGAAAAATTCTGAAAAGTTTTCCCGAAATTTTTTTAAAATTTGGAAATAATATTCCGATTACAATTTTTTTTAACCGGGGTGTCATGATGGGGGAATAATGATTATTTATTCACCTGACATTTATGCAGTGAGAATATTGATAATTCGCGTACAATAAAAGTGCATTTTAAATTACCCCCGAGCAGATTCTACAAGAGGCTGCAGCAGTACTACCCCGTGAGGAACGACTGGCGATGTTGGATGCAGTTCAAAGGGTATCAAGAGAAGCGTCTCGACGTCTGCGAAGAACCAGCTGTCCAGACCTCACAGCCCCAGGCATCCTGAGGCAAACGTACACGCCAAGGTAATTCGTTTGAAATTTCAAATTCATCCCGTTGAACTTTCAAAGTCAGTCTCCACGGTCTCATTTACCTATCTGCTCTAAAAAGAGAATATAAAAAAAAAAAAACAATCGACGAAATATTATTTCTTCTAGCAGGAATAAAATCATTTGACTCAGGTAGGAATAGACGGGCTTTCTCTGAATAAGTGACAGGGGTCGTCGATGTTTATCACTCCATCCCTCTTCCATGTCCAATTTCATCCCTTGATTGAACTCCTGACGGCAGACACGTATCGCAAATGCCCTGCCATAAACCGAAAACATAAAAAAAAATCCTGTTCCATGTAAAATGGCAGTTGAACCGAGAATACATGGGTTGACGGTACGTTTTTCAATGGACTTTTAAAAAATTTGCCAATTCTATTATGAGGGAAAAACGGGGTTTCGGTCACAAAAATTATTTTCCATTCATTCCAGTTCTTGAATAACTTCAATCCTCAAAAACAACTACTACCAATATTTTATGGCGTGCGTCATTGAATTTCAAGTAAGTGAACGTGATTGCTCTCAATTTTTCGGAATATCTGGAAAGTTCTTGAGAATGGAGAGACGTGGGATGCGACACCTCATCTAATCCCCGGAGGTGCATGGAAAACGGGCGATTCCGTCCTCAGAGAATATTTCGAGATTACATATCGGGTACGAGTCACTGGTGCCCGTTCGTGAATTGAAATGGAAACTCTCTAGGTTTCATCCCACGTCCCTTTATGTCTCGTCTCACTTCCAATTCTCTCTTTCATTGATAAAATTGGCGACTGCAGCCCCTAAGACTCCGAATTAATTATTAATGAATTCAAAAAAAAAATATTTTCATACAAATTGGCAGAGCGTTGGGACAAAAAAAATATTTCATTGATGTAATAAAAAAATTACAGGATTAAATAAAAATATTCGCCTCTCCATTTTAATTTATGAATTTTTTATTGTAATCTATAAGCGGCATTTATAGTTGTGTTTCATTGGTCGGGAAACCTTAAGCCCTTTTCTCTACGCCATTGTGGAATAATAATACAGTAGCCCTTTGCAGTGGCTTATGAAGGGATTTAAACGAGTTGGCAATGTACTCAGTTAGTAATGCTCGTGGGTTACCATCAATTTGTTCCCTTCGGTTTGGAGTCACCATAAATTTTCTATGTCATTGCTAAAACGGACAAACGGTCCATTTCCTCCATCAACCGACAGGATTATTTATATCCTGAATGAGCATTAATTAAATATTGAGTTGCTTCCACAGTGAAAATATCCTTCAGCCAGATAATATATTTCAGACCTGAAGTATTCTCGAATGAATTGATAATCACCAATTTTATTATTGCAAAATATTGAAGCGTATTGAAATTAGCATTTAAATGGCATTGGCTGTGAAAAAGTTATCCCCTTGTTTCAGATCAGAAAGTTATTTAATGGATCCACCATCGACGGCGCCTTGTCCTCGTCACCACAGCATAATAACAGAGCACCAGAGGCAATTGCAAAAAGAAATACTGGAGATGCATGATAGTTTGTCACGTGGTCTGTGTCCAAGAACAAGTACGAGCCCCTGGGAGACAAATTCAGTTCTATCCTGGACATCTTCACTCCGTTCAATCGGAAGGAGTAGAATTCGCAGGAGTCGACCGACAATTTGGAACAGAACTCGTACGTATGCATGAGAATTTCACATACTGGACGAGAATATCGAATTAATTTCGAGTAATTTGAGCTGAGTCAAAGGGGAATCGTTGGAATGAATAATTTTCAGGTACTTCGATGATGTGGGATAGTGTCGGTAGCAATGGTAATTCCACCAAGTGCAAATCTGAGGAGATGATCAGCCGTGAGGAGTCACCCAAGTGGAGCAACTCGGACGGTAGAATTTCGAGAAGTGAAATTGGTGGTGACGATGAGATTCTACCGTCTTGGGAATTTCTGGAGGCAACCTTGAACCAGAAGCTGCTTCATTACAACAAAAGCGATGATAATCATGAGCTCAATTCCCGGAACTCAAGACAAAATCAGTGAGGAATTAACAAAACCCCGAATTTTTCTTATTTATTGCTAAATTATTGACATTTTCAATATAATTAAATAAAATTTAATTTTGTCGAATGATTATTCGAATTGGAGTGTTAAATTTACTCATCGATCTGTTGGACTCCTTGAACCTTTCAACATATGTTTTTTTTTTTAATATACGATTATGTTGAGTATTTTGTGGCTCCTCAGAAAGGCAGTGCGTGGCGGGAAATGTAAAGGACCTCTCGAGCACAAGTGGCACTCCGCATTCATTCATTCATCAAATACAACCGAGCATCAAAGCAATTTTGAAAAATGCCGGAAAAGTAAGACAGCTGTTCAATTCAATTATATTATGATTGCCAGTATTTTTAGAATAATTAGGACTGATGGTTGAGAATTGAATCGGTTTGAATCAATGACAAATTATTCGACGGGTGTTTTCAAATCAGTCAGATTCACTCAATATTATTAGTGCAGCAATATCCAATTAGCAGCTTGCATTGATTTGAGGTAATCAAAGGAACTCAAATAAAGCCGAGTGCCTAGTCAGACAGCAATATACCATTTCCCATTAGTAATTAACTCCGTACATGAGTGACGATAGTACTCAAAGCAGCATCTACTCCATTCACCTTCAACTTCCAGCCATTATCGAATTTTATCCGTATGTTCCCGGGTAAAAAAAAAATTGTAATCAGAATATTTTTTCTTAATTTTCGAAAAATTTCGGAAAAACTTTTCAAAGATTTTTTTTTTGAAACAAAAATAAATCGAGAAACAAAACGATTGTACTTTTAGGAAATGTTTTGAAAAATTTTTCAAAACCTTTTCCAAAAAAAAATTGTTTTTTTTCTGATCTTTTTTTTTCATAAAAAAAAAATTTCTGAAAAGTTTTCCAGGGATTTTTTGGAAATTTGGGAAAAATATTCCGATTACAATTTTTTTTTTTAACCGGGCTCCACTGAGTTTTATTTCATGTTTGTTATCGAATCGGAAACAATCCACTTGTTGATGGCGCAATTAGCTCCAATTTCTTATCGGTGGAATAAGGGGAGGAAAAATCTGTTTATATACAGAAGTGATAAAGAGGGCGGTTTTCTAAGTTGAATTAGCGAGGAGTTGAAAGCGTCTACGTTTGCACGCATTAACCGTAAATTGTGTTTATTATGCATCCGGCAGTGGAAGGCGGGCTATAATATTATTGTAACTGCTAGGTCGTACACGAAACCCACTAGGTCGCTTTTAATGAAACGCATTTGTTATACCTGCTCTTCTTCCCGCAGTTTTAGCTTTTTCCTGCTCTCTTCAGGTTTTTTTCTACCCTCTGATTTTTACGCGCGAGAAATACGCGCAAAACTGAAATTCAAGAAATAAAATTTACAACAATATATTCAGTAATGAAATCGTAATAAACGCAATCGGTTCACTTAATCAATTTTTTATTTAAACGCAAATGTAAAATTATTCCAAAAAATAATAAATGTTTGGGGCTCACGGTCAATTACGGTCTTGATCAGGATCAGGATCAGGCTGTCTCTGGTTAATGGAATCGATTTTAACAATAATAACAGTGTGGGCTCTCAAACGGAAACGCGAATTCTGGAATCGCGATATCGGGCGTGGCTTTTGCAGAGAGTGCGGATATTGGATGGTTGTGAATTTTTTTTTTTTCTCACCCCGGAAATTTTATGCTCCATGAAAAAGAGTCTCTACTTTTTTACGCGACATTGACAGCGCATGCGGATAAACATTTGATATTTTTTATTGTCTCGCGATTCTGATTTCGCGGATTTGATTGTTCAGTTATGAAGTTTCATTCTGAATAAAATTCCGCATCGATTACGTCTCGAACCGAGAAAATCGTCCTCTCATGAAACACCTCGATGTCGGTGGATTTTTATCTGGGATATTTCCTAAGGTAATCACGGAAAAGTCGTTAATTAGTTCGCCGCCAGTAAGGAGTATAGTAATTAACCATTCCTAATGGAAATCCTTCCACTACTTTCCCCTTTTTCAATCCTATCGATTTATTCCATGGTCTTAAAGTGTTTCATTACTCGTACCTTGAAAATTCCCTGGAAATATTCCGATGTTAATTTTCTGTTTTATCTTACAGGTTTTTTGTGGGTTTTCATTTTTTAAGGATCAAGGGAATTTGTAATTGGTAACTGGCGAACGGCCAACGAGTTTTTTCCGGCGATAGAAAATAGTGCTGTAGGATCAAATCCACTTGTTCCAAGATATTTATTAAACAACGTTACGAAGGACAAGATAAACTAATAAATTATCCCGTACTCTGAGTATTTAAAACATAAAATATTCTAGATGTAGTAAATCCTTTTCGTCATTTTCCCGGTATCTGTAATGAACAATAATTCGCCATTTTTATTATATTATTTAAACCTCGACCGAAGCGAAGTGAGTGCCTTGTTTTTTTTTTCTTTTTTTATTCTGCTTTCCACCCGAGATTATTGGAAGGGCATCGTAAACTCTCATCATGCTCCTTCGATCGTAAACAAAAAGGTACTAGGGGCAATGCCTCATTATCGAATTTTCCATTTCACATAAGCAGCTTAACTTGTATATATCATCCCGCGTGCTCTGGCGGATTTCTATTTCATCTCGTTTTCAATACCGATCTTCGTCCAAAGTCGAGACCAATCCGCCTAGTCCCGTACTCCTCTAACTACATTAAATCCCACCTAGTTAGCATAAAACCACGGGCTTACACTCAAGTACGAACATTGAGTAAAACCGACAAATCCCATCCACTGGAAATCTTCATTTCTCACTGAGCAACACTTTGTTGTTTTATTTTCATCATTTCGGACATCTATAGTTTTTCTAAAAAAAAATTGTGATTACCCGGAGTAATCAGATGAGGGTATTTAAACCGTTAATTCAATTCAACATCCGGGCAAAAAAAAATTGTAATGGGAATATTTTTTCCAAATTTTCCAAAAATTTCTGGAAAACTTTTCAGAATTTTTTTTTAAACCAAAAATAATCGGCAAATAAAATAATTGTATTTTTGCGAAACGTTTTGAAAAGTTTTTCAAACATTTGTTTCGGAAATTTTTTTTTTTTATTTTCTAGAAATTTTTGCGAATATGATTTTTTTTTAATTATACTGTTGTTTTTTTTACTTTTTCAATTTTTTAATATTCTCAAAAAATACGTCATCTAAATTACAAAAAGAATTTTCCAATTCAAATTTTGGAAAAATTTTTCAAAACCTTTCCAAAAATAAAATTGTTCTATTCTCCGATTTATTTTTCATAAAAAAAATTTTCTGAAAAGTTTTCCAGAAATTTTTTGAAAATTTGGAAAAAATATTCCGATTACAATTTTTTTTACCTGGACAATTACTGATTATTTCTCTCCATGTAAATGAAGAAATTCAACAGTAGCTGACGATTATTCCACCCCCCACCGAAAAACTAATTGAATTTATTTCCCCCCGAACGATTGATCGTGAAATTTTTCTATGAGTCTCCAAACAACTAGAATATTCAATTCAATTCAATGCAAAAGTACTCCCGCTTTATCCATGTCATTGGCTCGTGTACGCGGTAATTGAATGACGGGAAAATTACGGTAATTTTAATTCTTGGCTCTTGGACGATGTCACTGACGGCAGTGGGTGAAACTCTCACCATTCCTCTCTCATTCCTCCCATCCCACCCCCAACCACCCACTCTCACCCCATTTCACTGTGGTCTTTCGTCAGAAGTGAGAGAAACACAGAGAAAGAGAGATGCGAGTCGGATGGAAAGCGATGAAAATAGAGAGAGGGTTGAAATCGAGGTCTTGCGCTTCTGCGTTGGCGAGAGGGTGGAAAAGTGGGTGGCAAAGGGGAGGTAGGAATTGAGGGAAAATGGTACTGCCGTTTTTCCCTTGTGCGCCAGCGCAGTTTCAGCTGTGCAGTTGGATCTCAGTCTCACAGCCTCTCTTCCGTGGTCCATATCGTCATCCCGTGAGAAGTCCGTCGATCGTGTTCACGCGAGGTATTTCCTCTCAACATCAAAGTCCTCTCAAATATCCACCCAGTGAATTATTTATCAACCCACTAAATTATCCCGATAAATTTGCCATTCCGTTTTTATCCCGGGCACTTTCAATATCTCATGCTCTTATTTTTGTTGGTTCCGCGGTTTATCAGTGTTGTCGCAGTTTGATTATCAATTTTTTCGTAATTACTGTCTGTTGGTTTTGAGTTTCATAATCCGAGGTGAAAGGGTTGGAGATCAATTTTTGGAATGTTGACAATCCCTTCGCTGGAATTCATCCACCGCACGTGATCTGGTGAGATTTTATTTTTATTCATCAATTTTTGTACTCGTGGGACGATGGGAATAATTACTGAGGGGTGTAACAGGTTTTTTTGACTGAGATTTTTGGGGTGGGGGAAAATATTGGGATGGGAATTTTTGTCGGTCTTCTGGGGGTTGAGCTTGGTGGTCAGGAACGCGAGGAGTGTGTCAGTCATGCACCAGTGGGAGACGAGTGGGTGCAATTAGATGGTACGAGACCATGAAGTAATTAAAGCACTGTACTTTCCCCCCACCATTCTCCCCTTTCTCTTTTCAAGGAGGAAAACACAAGACAAAGAATCCGTCCGGAAAACCTCTCACTTTTGGTTCCACCCGATTTGTTAATTAATTATTGATGTTAAGATATTTTTTATGGACGTGTTTGCGCTCATGTTTGCTCATATTCACCGGCAATTACCGAGAGGGTCATGCAATATTCGAGTACAGTATTAATCGCAGTTGAATTTATTAATGAAGAGACTCATTATTCGGTCAATAAATGCATCCGGCGAATATTCGAAACAGACATTTTATTTTTATGACGAGTTTTTCGTCGGTAATACCAATATTTGTTTTATTTTGTAAAATCGACGGTACCGGATGTTCGACGGATACGAAACTGTAAACACACGAAATAAAATCCAACATTTCGTCTGTTTATCCCACCATCAATAATAATGAGTAGAAAATATTAATTTTTTACCCTCGCCCTTCCACCTGGTGAATTCGCGTAAATCATCGCACTGAGCAAATACTCTTAAACTCTGTCATAAACCCTCCGAATGTCTGTCATTTTATGTTTCACTTTATTCTCCCAAAACTCTTGGGAAAAAGAACTCGAAGAAGACTGGAGTCTCGTTGCCCTAAATGAATTCCGAAGAGATCTCACTAGATATGAGTTAAATCCCCTGGAGAAATCTCCCGAATCTTGCCAAATAAAACAATCATAAACCATTATCTCCTGCTTGGCTGTGATAAAACTGGAGATCGTGATGAGATCCAACTGAACGACGTACGTCTTTCCAAAATACCGCGAAAATTCCATTACTCCCATAAAATTCAATTACGTTTTCATGTGCCAACTCGAATAATTACCCATAAAATTCACGGAGTATTACTTCAAATTGTCAATCATCCCTTGAAATAATTTCATAAACCGACAGATCGATTAATTTATTATCACAATTAATGATGAATAAATTTTCATCTTAAAATCATCTCATTCGATATAAATAAATCACAAGTTTCCCAGCGATTAATTCTTATTTTTTTTCTTATCATTTCGCCATCTGAAGATAGGGACCAGGGGCTAGTGTTGTTTTTCAATTACACGGACCAGCGCCTCTGAAGCGTTGGCATGTACTTTACGTTTACCGGGATAAAGTACATAAGGGGGAGAGGGGTAAATAGGAAATAGGTTGAAGTTTCAGAAAATGTCGCAGTGCACTTTCTCTTTTGTGTGGAAGTTTAAGGTCTTGCTCGCTAGACTCATCCGAGTGCATTCGCAATTAATAGTCATGCTGTGGGGGTATAAGCGCACTGGGACAATCGAATTTACGTTTTGGCTTATGTGTACTGAGGATTTGTTGGTGTGGGTGTGTGTGGATAATGGCCACAACGCGAACCGAATAATTCCACCAATGGCCAGTGCAAACGTATGGTCATCCTACCTTTGCCCCACCAGAATCTCCGGTTTCATCTGGATATTCAGGGCACTGGAGAATCAGATGGGAAGAACGAGAAATTTAATCAGTGTATTATTTTTCAATGAATATCAAATTGTCTTTATCAGGGATCCAATTCATCATTCCATTTGTCAATAATTACTCGGGTACAAAAAAATGTAATCGGAATATTTTTTCCAAATTTTCCAAAAATTTCTGGAAAACTTTTCAGAAAATGTTTTTATGAAACAAAAAAAATCGAAAAACAATTTTATATTTGGGAAAGGATTTTTGACAAATTTGTCAAAAATTTGAATAGGAAATTTTTTTTGTAATTTAGATGGCGTATTTTTTGAGAATATTGAAAAATGAGAAAAGTAAGAAAACAACAGTATAATTAAAATAAAAAATTATACTCGCAAAAATTTCTAGAAAATTATAAAAAAAAAATTTGAAAAAGTTTTCAAAACATTTCCCAAAAATGCAATTGTTTTGTTTCAAAAAAATAAAAAAATTCTGAAAAGTTGTCCAGAAATTTTTTGGAATTTTGTAAAAAATATTCCGATTACATTTTTTTTACCCGGGTTGGAATATCCGGGGTTATTGGAGTCGATTGTGCCGGAAATTCTGAAACCCTTTGGGTGTCCTGTGTTGTGATAGGAGTGCGAATTCATTACGGACGTACGCATGATTTTCACCGGGTGAATACACGTATCCACATAATTACGTGGATATAAACCGCGATATGTGCGCGTCCTGATGAAAACGGTAAATCTGTGGGGGCAGGTCGAGGTGGATGGCTCTGTACTTCGGGTACATCCATAAATCACTGACAGCTTTTCCGAGGCAACGAGGCCAATTCGACACGTGTCATATCGACGAGAATATTTCCCTCGTTAATAAACTCCACGGAGAGATACCTAATCGCCACCAATACGCAGACTGATCGAATCGATATTCAGGATTAACGCCTTCATTCAGTGGAGGAGTCAATTTTTTTGAGGAATTTATGGGATAAATTGAGGTTTTATTACGCGATAAAAAGAGGGAAAATGTATCGACAGTGTCGGTTTCCCTTCGCGAGATGAAAAAGATAAATAATTAAATTAATCATGGATTTATCAACCACAACTGATAAGAATTTTTTCTTCTAAAGAAATGAAGACGAAGATATCGCCGCGAGAATGAAAAAAGCGCCGCCATTACCCTGCAGCGCAAAAAAAAAAAAATTGAATCGAGCCCGAGGTGACCGATTTTCTGGAATTCCCGTGACTCGAAAATCGCTGAGAATTCCGTGCTCTCGCAGTTGGAATTAGCCAAGGGTTTGCTACAGCAATTAGGCCGGAATCGTCGTTTGCGTAAATCCGTGAGTAAAAGAAGGGATGAGGGTTGGTAAAATGAGTTTTCAACCGAAGAATTCAACTAGTTCACTCCCTGGCACGAAATGACTCCCGACCACTGGCCCCTTTCAACCGATTCCTCGGCTCGGTGCCTCCTCACTCCTCCTTTTTACATTTTGGCTATACATTGCACTCCTTTTATGCTCCCTCAACCGCATTCTATCCTCCATTTAGGAAGCCCTGGCCTCTCACCACGATCTTGTACCTATTTTCCTTTTTTTTTGCCATTCGTTTCTGGGGCTATTTCCACAGCCTTTCATCGTGAGGATCAGCTTGGATACATCCAGTGTCTGACTACACTGCGCCATTTCCACTTCGGCCAATTTCACTCGCCCTTTTGTGACCCCCGGGCCCGCGCCAATAAAATCCATCGAAATGCCCTCCAAGTTTTTTTTTTTTTTTCACTTTCAATATATTTTTTTCCCGCACGTTCCCGCCCTTCTGGAATATACGTGACAGATAAATCACGCGCTTTGTGGACTTCCACAAACGACGGGTCACGTGCGCGGTCGAGAAAATTCTGGAGGACCCGCTCTTCATTCTTTCGAGAGGAATTCGCTTGATTGAAGTACACTACAATAAAAATTACATTTATTCAACGTTTATCTTATTTCGTCGTTTGTGTCAAATAAATATTTATTGATTTTCTTATTTTCACATGAAATTAAATGCGCGAATAACTGAATAATGCGAATAAATATTTTTGGGAAATTCTGGAGAGTAATTACTTTCTTTGTTTTATTTAATGAGTAATTAGGGGAATATTCGTCTGTTGGGGGAGACGAATTAGATGTATTCCGTGAAAGATGATTCAATTATTCGAGGTAATAAAAAATTATTAGTTTATTCGTTCCGTGGGGAGTACAGGGAAAAATTGATAAGAAATGGCGAACCGATTATATTGTGTCAAGTGAACGAGCACGAACGACATTAATTTGCAGTCTTCACACCGTCGTTTCCCATTATTCTGTTTTATTTTCCATTCCAACTCGTTTTATTTTCATTCACTTCATTTTTTTATATATTCTCTTTTTTTTTTTTGACTATTTCCCTTCTTTATCATGACTCGGGTGTGTTGTAAATGGCTGGTGAAAAGTTATTCGATGCACGTACCCTGGCAAGAATGAAATTTGTCACGGTGAAAAGTACTCGGCGAATTAAAGGGTGAGTGGTGGCACTGCTGGGGGTTAGGGGGATGAAACTGGAATTCCAGTGTGGGCAGATGGGAAAATTGAACAACGACTCGCTGTTTCACCCTCCTATTCAAAACAAATTCACCCTTACTTACCAATTACCCCGGCATTCATCTGAATTCTATTTTTTTTTCGTTGTCCACTGCCCACACCTTTTGAATTTCCCACCACTCCATCATTTCCGTTATCTTCCCGGATTTAATTACACCGTGGGAAAATTGTCCGGGAAATTTTTACTGTGGGAATTAAGTCCCGTTATTTTTTTTAAAATAGGGGTTGTACTCGGAATTTTGGAAATCGGTACAACTGTTTGGGAATCGGGAAGTTAATTGAGAATACTGACTAGCACCCGGGGTTCCCAGGGGAGTGGATGGATTTGACGCGGAAAATTGAATGGGAAATGAAATTTTCGACAATGCGTGATGCATTTATTTTTTGGAATATCCCCCTGGGCTCATTCGCTCAGTGTTGCCCTCCGACCTTTGGTATCAAATCCGATTGACCTATATTGCACACCATCTCTTTGCGCTGGCGCATACATGGGATGGACTTGAATTGAATTTTCAACCTTCAAATCGTGAGAAAAGGGTGAAAAATTGGCAATAAAATCATATCCATAAGTTTTTCCATCCATAAAAGCTGTAAAATTCCGGTAAAATGGTATTTCCAAGAATAACCCGAAAGCCCTGTGATTTTTCCACATTACCCGCAATTTTATCCATTTCTCCTCTATTT